TCACGGTTAGAGGCCAAGGTCAGAGGTCCGGGGCAGGGTCCGAGTTTCGGGAGGTTAGGCGTAGTCTTCCGTCATCTTCCCGTAGTCTTCCGTCATCTTCCCGTGGTCTTCCGTCATTTTCCCGTCATCTTCCCGTAGTCTCCCGTCATCTTCCCGTAGTCTTCCGTCAGCCTCCCGTCATCTTCCCGTAGTCTTCCGTTATCTTTGTGTAGTCTTCCGTCATCTTCCCGTAGTCTTCCGTCATCTTCCCGCAGTCTTCCATCATCCTTCCGTCATCTTCCCGTGTAGTCTTCCGTCATCTTCCCGTCAGCTTCCCGTCAGCTTCCCGTAGTGTCTACGGTCATCTTCCCGTAGTCTTCCGTCATCTTCCCGTAGTCTTCCGTCATCTTCCCGTAGTCTTCCGTCAGCTTCCCACAGTCTTCCGTCATAAGGTTAGAGGTTAAGGTTAGAGGTTACGGTTAGAGGTTAGGGTTAGAGGTTAGGGTTAGAGGTTAAGGTTAGAGGTTAGGGATAGAGGTTAGGGTTAGAGGTTAGGGTTAAAGGTTAGAGTTAGAGAGGTTAGGGTTAGAGGTTAGGGTTAGAGGTTAGGGTTAGAGGTTAGAGGTTAGGGTTAGAGGTTAGGCGTGTCAAAATTCCGCCGCGGGACCCCCCCTCCCCCCCTCAGACTCCCCCTAACCACCACTTAGAACACGCCTCGCCCCTTTGCAGAGAGTAACTTGGCTTTTGCAAAGGGGTCGGCGGATTTCTCAATGATAGTAGTGACATCAAAGGAAAAATACACATGAAAGCTACAGAGCTCCAAGGTAGTCAGTCGGGCGTCATGCACAGGCCTTGGCGGTGGGTATTTCAACCATGTTGCATGGGCCAAAGTGCCTGGGTACCAAGGATTCGCTTTTAGTTGACTTGCGTTAGGGACCCTCAGAGCTTCAGCTTGGTGAATTGGGCGCGTCGTTTGCAGGGGTACCCCTTTTGGTCGTTTACAAGGTAAACCAAGAGGAGATCCTCATTTCTCGGGCTGCGTTTTAAACGCACCCAAACATCACGCCCAGTCGCGAGTCTGCAAAAACTCGGATTTCCGATGATACGATCGAGCTTCTTTTTCATGACTCTTTCGGCCCCACCTCGAAGCCCTCAGGCGTGGCACCCGAGTTCGGCCTTCTTTGGGGGGAGGGTGGTTTTTTTAGCGAACCCCCAAAATGGAGGGTTGTCCCTCTTGGTTTCCAGATACACTATCCCAAAAAAAGGGTAGCCTCGAAAAAGGCCGCGCCTATGTGTTTATTTTCCAGTGGACTAAATTTTAGAACCAGAATCAGAAGATAGCCAAAATAGGTGTGCCCTCTTTCAGGCCAAGTTCCGAGGTATGCAATGTTGTGTGTGTGTGAACGAACGTGGATTGTAGCAATTCCATCCACATGAAAGGGTTGTTGACGCAAGCCAAACAGGTGACAGGAAGTCGAGATCGACGCTTCTCGAGATCAGCGGGTTTGTGTTTGAGTATAAGAACCCCAACCAAGCTAGCAACGAAAAAGGACAAGACGCGTCCTTTTGATCGATGGGTTTGGTTAATATATGGGTCACCTTGTGTTTTGGATGGGTTTTATAAACTATTTACCAAGGAAACCCATCTATGTTTCCTGTTTCGGTCAGCGGACCTCAAATCCGGGCGGGCCTTGGTCAACCGCGCCCAGGCTGCTGCGGGGACCTGCCTGCGGGCTTCACTGCCATTACCTTCGACTCCCACGGCAAGCAGGTCACGGAGTGCCGGGGGACTTAGGGCGCGCGCCTAATGCGCGTGTCCGGTGCTCCATGTGGGTGCGTGTCTTAGGGCCCGAAGCCCCATTCTTCGGCCTTTCTGGTTTTTCCTTGAAACCCACCGGAGAAAGAGGGGTAGCAACCCCCACCAACAACGTTTCGGGGAATCGGTCCTGGTTTGAACCATGTTCCTTTAAAGGGACCATTTCCCGAACGTCAGGTTCCATGTGAACTGGTGGGAGTTGGTACCTACTCCGAGCGACTCAAGTGGAGCGGTTGACGCGCCCTGCGCGAGCAAGGCTTTCTGCAGGGCGACTGCACGCTGTACCGCTGGGCGGGCGCGCACTTCCAGTTCAAAGCCTCCTCCAATGATGATGTCGCCTGTCTCAATCCGCGCAGCCGCGCAGGGCGAAAAAAAATGGAATGGTTGAAGGATGATGAGGGGACTGCAAAAAAAAAGTAAAAATGGAAATGGCTGAAGGAAGATGAGGGGACAGAAAAAGGACATGGTTGAAGGAAAATGAGGGGACACCGCCAACAAAGGGGGGGTGTCCTACGTCTACCACCCATTTGGGATCCCTGGACCTTCCCGAAGAGGGGTCAAAAAGGCATCCTGAGGTCCTGGCTCGCGTTCCATTTGGGGCAATCTGGGATTTTGCAAATCACTTGTACCATTTACTCAGCGGGCGTCCGATTTGTGCATGGTTGCATCCTTGCGGATGCGCATTCTCAGTGTGCTTTGTGTTTGACCGAAACTGCCCAAAAGTCAAGCCCTTCTCAAAACGAATCCTCGTTTTGGTTGAGGGCAATCTCTTGGGTTCTGGTTTTAAGGACAACCAAAGGGGCACCCTCCCAACCAAAAAGACCTGCAGCTCCCAGACCAGGTTAGGACAAACACACTGCCCGTTACGAAGATCCAAATGTTTGTTTGGGGGGGTCCATTTTATGGGTGCAAGGTAGACCCAAACCCAGTGGTTGATTTTCCCCAAAAGGGTCCCCCCCCCAGTGGCCCAATCACTTCATGAATGATATTGAGGAGGTGATACGCCTTCCTTTGGGCGGTTTCTGAGGAATTGGAGATGGTTTCCCAATTCATGCTGCTTTCCAAACAAAGTGGTTGCTAGGTGCTGCTGTTTGTTTTTGCTCACTAAGCCTTACCATTCTAATTGCTTGTTCTTTGAGCTCCCAGTTTTCGACTCCAGGGCCCTTTTTATGCTGACAGATCAGTTGCATCGTCTTCTCCGGTTCGCTCGCTGCAAAAAGGTGAACTGAGAGTGAAAATGCGATCGCCTTGCACGCCCTCAACATGTCTGAGTGGGGAGTGATGGAGTTTCATGTTTGGCAACCCATTTTCCTCTTGGGACTTACTTCCTGAGTTACTGATTTATACTTTTTGTTTTAGTGGGAAATAAAAAGTTTACACTTTTCGGGCCAATCCACTCGATCGCAAGTGACACCAAATCTGTCGTGCAACGGTGTGCCGTGAGGACCTGTTCAGGACCCAGGTTCACTCAAGCGCCTGGGTGTAAGCGGGTTCTCAGCATTGAGAAATGGAATGACCCCCAAAAAAAAGTGCGGGAAAAACATCCCCTATGGTTTCCTGTAAGGAAACGTCAAGGTTCATTCCCACAACTTTGGGTCATTCCCAAGTGAGCGCCAAGTTTTGAAACACCTCCAAATGGCATCCCTCTGGGGCTTGATTCCCCATTTCAACCGTTGCTTTCAATAAACAGCTGTTTCCCCTGGGTTTTCGATGGTTTTCTGAAATGAAGGATCCCTAGAAAGAATGGAAGCTTCCCCTAGAATCCTGGAGAAGAACTCCGCGCGCTCCCAGGTTTGCCCCCACACCGTGGATGATCCGCGCTGCCCGGCCTACAAGGGTCCTGTGAAGTTTCAAGCCTGAGACTCTCAGGCGAACCGCTGAGCGCGAAGTTTCTCAAGTTTTCAAGTGGGAAAAGGTGAGCGCCGGTCTGGCATGGTCTTTTGCTCACTGCCTGAGTTCCTGGACTTTATACTTTCGCGGCTTGGACCATTTTAGTGGAAGCAACAGTTCGGACTTTTTGTGGCCACTCCACTCAGGAAGTGAGTTTGGGAAATGGACACCTTTATCTGTGGCTCCGGAGGGAAATGTCGGTTGATCCATATTGCGTTTGGCCCCAACTAGCAATGGGCAACGTTTCTCATGTGGGAAAGTCATCTTGGTGGTTTTCCCAACTGGTCCCCTGGAAAGGATCTGTACCCTCAAATTTGGAGGGACCCTTTGTCAAGCAATATGCATAAGCTGTCAACAAAAATTGGGGACATTTCCCGGGATGTCAGATTTTCTTCAGGGGCGCACATGTTCCTCGCTGCAGACGCGGCGGACTGCAGTTGTTTATGCGTCCAAAACAAGATGTGGTCCCGGTTTGTTTTGCGAGGATGCTGAGGGTATCCATTTTGGTGTTGATGTAAAGGGAGGCCAAAGGGAAAACACCCCTTGGGCGGGGGGGGGGGGGGGGCTATTGTGACACATATCCATTGTGTGACTGTCACCAGACGGCACATGCCCCCGAAACATACCTCCGAGCCTACCCGTCCTCACCTGCAATGTCTTGCAACATACCTGCGAAACATACCCCAAGACCAACACGCATGGATTGATAGACTAAAACCAGTCTGAAGAACCAGTGAACACGGGCAGCGTGCAATGTAGACGCTACGCCACCTGTCACTAGGTGCCGTTTGCAAGGCATTCATGCGGTTTGTAGCTTCCGTGAGCACAGATTGTGAACAAGAGGTGTCTAATATGGTGAGGAATCCGCAAGAATGCAGTCAGTATTTATAGGGTCAAAAGGGGTTCTTCTCAAAATAGCGCTCCTCTAAATTGGTATTTGTTTGGTTTTCCTAAGCCGGCCAAAAGGGGAATGATCTCACTTCCCTAGTGTTCACATGTGTTCACAGGAGTGTGAGCTCGAATGAAGTGGGGCACTTGGAGTTGGACTCATTTAGTTTGCCCCGCTCCGTTTGACAGAAAAAGCAGTTTGCTGTTTCAGTCTTACGAGAACAAGCAGAAGACCACGGGTTTGATTGGGGGAACCCTAGTTTTCTTTGTTGCATATTGCTTGGATGTTAGAACTTTGACTTGTTGCCAACTAATTGTCTTTTTCCCATCAAACCACTAAAAGTTAAAAACGTTTAGCAGGGGAGCAGAAAGCAACCGAGTTTTAAGACACCGGTGTGAGAACCGTTGTGTGGTTCCTTCGGATAAGGTGCGCACGACTTCTCGAGCCCCGAGCTGCTCATCGAGCACATCCAAAGGCGAGAGAAATGGAGATATCTGAGATAGTGGGTAAAGTGGCTGGAAAATGGAAACAAGTTGCTAGGCTCCAGGTAGAAATAGATTATGCTTACAATATCCCCACCCCCTTAAGAAGGGGTGGGAGTGACACCTGGAAGTCCGTTCATGGTTCCATTTTCCCTTTATGGAGGAATACTAGAAAAAATGGAATTGAGGGACCCCCCACCCCCCTCACCCTTAAGGTAGGGGTGATCTTATAATCATGACCTCACTTCCTGAGTTCCGTTTCGGACTTGAGTCATGTTAGTGGCGAGCAAAAGGCTTCAGCTACTTTTTGTTGGGCCATTCGCTCGATCGGAAGGCGACTCGATCTGGCTGTAAAAAGTAAAGCCACAGCCCCTAGGTAACCGGTCCGGGTAGACCCATTTGTGTAGATGCTTAGGGGCCGGGTCTCGAAAAATGGGGCCCTAGAAATGGGCGGTGTTCCTCAAAAACCTCCCCTCTTACCCGGAAAGTGGGCGAAGCCATTTGGAGAATGCTTCTGGAAGCCTTGGAAGGCGGGAGTGAGCCCTGGAATTCCATGCCAAGATCTTGTGGTGACTGAATGGTACCCGAGGCTGCGTTTTCGTACCTTGGTGTACCTTTGGCTTTTCGTTTCCGTTGCAAGATCTCCGGAAAAGCACAAACTCCAACAAGTGGGTCCATGTCCAAAAAGGAAATCTCCCAATGATCATAGGAGCCAGATCGGTGTGTCTGTTTTCGGGGGCTGACCCCTGCTTGGGCTAGGGAGCCGAAACCATGTGGGGGGTCAATGCCCTTCTCGCGACATTTCACCGCGAAACGGTCGGCGGCGATTCGCCAGGGTTGACACGGACCCGGAGCTCTTTAAGTCGGGCGCCAGAGATCATTGATCCATGTGCCAAAGAGCCCATGTCTTAATGGTGATTTGGTACTGGATCTGTGGATTTGTTTGTTGAATCAGGTGGGATTTGTCCGTATCGGACGGACAAACGTGACACGGGTGGATTTGTTTCCGTATTGGACCCACAAAAAGTGAACAACTTGTTTTGCTGAGATATGTTTGAAGGTTCCAGGCTTGTTGTTCGGTGTGTCTCTTTTTGCCCTCCTTTCAAAAAAAGGAGAAAAACAAATGTGTGTCTCTTTGATTTCCCTTTAATTAAAGCCCCCAAAAGAGTCGCATGCACATGATGTTAATGTCATGCAGCAGTCTTGCAGTCAGCAGGTTCCATTGTTCAAAACAGGTTTCCCTTTGGTGCCAACTTACAAGGGCAATCTGTTTTACAGGTGACACCTTGGATCCATTTGCCCTGCTCGGAGCTCTTTGGCGCACATGAGGCCGTCCATGGCGATTCGGGCATGTGAAAGGCTTCAATTTTGGAGTAGCAAGGCTCCATCAAATCACCACTCGACCCATTGGGGGCGGAGCGATCTGCGAGCTGTTGATGAAGGTGGCACCAGCTTGAGAGAAAGCAAAGAATTCCAATGTGGGAGAAGAATCGGAGGCCGTGCATCGACAAACCCAAAGTCTCGAGGAGTTTGAATCAATTTCCCAATGGCTTTTGATGCTTTAGTCTTTGGTCCGCGGGGATGTTTCAACTCCAGGGTTAGTCGTTTGGTTCCGAGTCTGTTACACCCCACATGTTTTTTCGGAAGGAACCCAAAAAAGGGTACCCCAACAAGGAGTTGCCTCTACAAATGGCGGCTTTTGGGTTCCATGTTGATCTGCAGAGCACCTTGCTCATGTCGCAAGGTCTTACTTGCGGCAGCCCATTTTGGCAGATCACTGGTACGCACGACTGCAGGACTGACTGATAAGAGGGTGCACAAAGAAGGGGGGTTGATCAATATTCCGTTCGGCCCCCACATGCGCATGGGTAACTTTTCCCATGTGGTTGAAGGATCATCCATCTTTGTCCTGTGGATTTTCCCCCATGGTCCCATGTGTTCAGGACCTTTTGATCAACCCCCACATCCACTCACCTGGCAGATCAGCTCGCATTCCAAGCTTCCGCCCCTTTGGGCCCCTCGCATGACGACAGCGCGGGCCTTCCAATTGTGTCTCCATCTTTGAAGACTTTGCGGTTGAGCGAGGTTAGTGGGGGGTCTCCATTTGGGTGTGGCTCAAAGTTAAACAGGAGGGGCAAACCGCAGGTCTTGGTCCTTGTTTCCAATTACCCAGGGTTCCATTTTGGTACCGGCTTTTTTGAGCCACAGCCATTTAACCCTCTAGTTTAAACTTCGAGCAGTGGAAACATTTGGACAGCCCAGCTCACTATTACTTCAACCACCTGTTTGGCTTCCCTTCGAAGTTGATCTTGGCATTGGGCACATGTTGCCCACCTCAGCAGGACTGGCCACACTTCTGTGCTGCCGGCGATGTCTTTCCCGCGCCAGAGTTTAAGCAAGCGATACTTTGGGCACTTCGCTGTCTCCCGAGCCTGTGTTCAACTGATTGCGCTTGGCGTGCCTTGTTTGAGAGTACCATGGTTGGTCGTTGCTGGCGGGAAGCCCACCCATACGGGTGACCCGGTTTGGAACAAACGCATGTCCCCAAACTAGGGGTCTTCGAACGGCTCAGGAATCAAGAGTACAGTTGTTCAGCACAGTGTAGCTGGCAGCCAACTCACGCTGAATGTGACAACTCGGGCCAACCTGGAGGTTGCACCAGCACCCCAAAGAGAAAAACTCGAAAAGCCAGAAAACAAGGGTCCTCAACCTTTCGCGCACCCACATACTGGGGTTTGTCTCCCACTCCAAGCAGGTTTGCTTTTGGCTCGGCAGACACACGCCTCGGCGCCTGACAGGTCGGGAGTTCCATGACCTGCTCTTCACGGACTGCGAGCGGGGGACGTCTCCCCGGCTCGGGACGTTGGACCCGATGGGCGTGGCGGCTGAGGAGTTGTGTGTGTGTGTGTGCATTTTCTTTGGCGTTGCTGCCTGCTGTCTTGGTTATTTTGCTGCAAATTCGCCGAATTTTCGGGGAGTGGTCGGTTTCGAGAGGGTGTTGGATGGCCTTTTGGGTGGCTAGAACCTGGAGCCAACTTGACACCGAATCAACCAAGGTGAAGTTGAACATTGAGCGATTTGACCAATTGTCAGGTGGCGTAGGAGTTTGGAGAGAACTGTAAATTGGTGTTGGGCTGGACACCCCTCCCCCACATGTTTGAGCCTGCAGTCGTGCATTGTGAGTCCGGTTGCCGGAGGGTCGGGGTGGGGGGGGGAGCGTTCAGCCTGCGCGCATGTTGCAGGGCAAGCCGGCCTTGCGAAACGTCATCCAAAGCTTTCACTCAGCACATGGATGCTGTGGCCGATGAAGTCAATCAGCAGGATGTGTTTTTGGACGCAATACGAACCCCAAAAAGCATGCGCGATTCCGCGCGCTTGTCGTGCTCCAGCTCCTGCGTTGCAGTACGGCTGTGGACATTGGTTTCCTTCCGCGCAAGACATGTGTGCCCTATAAATGCGCAGTATATACTGTTAGGTGGCCGTTATCATCTCAGGGCAACAATTCTTTGAAGCCCCCCCTCCCCTAGGGCACTTCACGAAGCATTCGATCGTGGTCCTGGAATGGTTTCGCACTGCAGGTATACACAGGTTTTTCCTTACCCCCTCCCACCCACCCACCCCCCGCCCCCAATTGAAACCAAGAGTAAAGCACAGATGGCAGGGAAATGGTCCAAATGCAGGCTGTGCGCCAAAAACGTGCCAGGCGGGAGGCTACCCTCACTTGATTTGAAGCGAAGGATTTGGTTGTCATCTGTGGCAATGGGCATTAGCCCGCAATATGCATCGGATGCCAGGCCAGCCAGCGCTGAAAGGACAGCAGAAGGAGGAAAAACGCTCGTTCCAGACTCCCTGTGCTCCTGGACATCGGGGCTCAGGATCACCCAGAAACTTCAGGGCTCACTGAGCCAATCTGAACAGCGCACCCCTGCAAAATGCGAATTGGCAGATTTTGGCCAGTTTGGCCCCAGCTTCGGGAAAGGGGGGCTCTTGGCGGTTCATTAAAAGGCAGACCCTTTTGCAAAATGGCTTGGCATATGGAGCTCTTCACCGAAACAGGCGCTAGTTTGCATTTAGTGATGCCTCCTACATGGCTTAAGAACACAGATTGATCACATGACTTGCACACCGACGTCGCCAGAACTTAACAGATCCAAGCTGGAACGCGTCAAATCAAGCAGACAGGACATGCGAAGATCAGACAAGCCTAGACTTCAAGTTTTGCATTAAAGCCAGACCACACATGGTTGCCCCTGCTTGCGCCTTTCTTGCCACTTGTCGGCAAGAATCGGTGGGCTGAGGATTGCAGAAGAGAGCAATCGAACAAAGCATTCATCGAACACGTTCTGGTCACTTCTTGGTCGATGAGAAGGTCTGAAACCCCAAAGGTCTGAGTTGTTTTTCCAAACTTGTCGAACGTCCCCGCTGAACCTCAGAGCGAAGCCCAAGTAGAAACACCAGTGGGACCATATTGACCCCCAGAAAGGTTTCGGGAACTGCGAATCGCGGTTCCTGCCTCAACCTCGCGCCACTTTGGATTGCAGTCGCTTCAACGGGGAGCTGAGGCCTTTGTCAACCATAGCCCAAGGCCTGAGGAACTCAGGAAGCCCAGCCAACCCCTAGGGAAGATACAAACTAGAAGACAAGTGGCCCGAAAAGCATAGTTGACCGAGTTACATGCACGCGCATGTGCTCATAGCGTAAACGAGAGTATCATCAGATTCTATTATCTTCGTAGGTTTTTTTTTCGCGTAATTGTGAGTAAGTTCTCTGAGTAAGTTTCTTTCAAGTTCTTTGAGTAAATTTTCCGAGTAAGTTTTTTGCATATAGCGTTGAAGTCAATATAGTATTTTCGATTTGTAGAAGTGTTTTTGTATATATATATATATTATACGGTTTTCGCACTTTAGCCGGAGCTGCCAAAAGATTCTTCGCATACTGCTTTCGCACCTGAAAGCTGCAATTTTCCAGGCGATGCTACAAAAGTGTAATTCGCATACTGCTTTTGCACTTAAAAGCAGCGATTTTCTACCTGGCGCTACGAAAGTGTACTTTGCATACTGCTTTCACACTGACAAGTTGCGACATTCCAGCCGGTACGAAAGAGTGCTTCGCAAATTGTGTTCGCACTTAAAGGTTGCGATTTTCAAGCAGGCGCTACGAAAGTTTAACCCGCAAACTTATTTCACACTGACAAGCTGCGATTTCAGGCGGCGTTACAGTGTACTTTGCATATTGCTTTCGCAGTGAAAAGTTGCGGTTTTCTGGCCGGCGCTGCGAAGGTGTATTTCGCATACTGCTTTCGCGTTTAAAAGTTGCGAGGTTCTGGCCGGCGCTACGAAAGTGTACTTCCCGCAACTTGTGCGCGACTTTCGAACTCATAAGCTGCGCGGACCAAGCGAAATTCGAGCCCGGGCCGCGGAAGACTTCCCAGAGCCAGAGCAGTGGCACCAAGCCGCCTAGGTTTTCAAAGCCAAGTTTAAGTAGAGTAGCAAGTTCTCTCTCAGCAAGTTCTCTCTGAGCAAGTTCTTGGAGCAGTTGTCCCTAAATTCCCCCGCACCAAGTCCTCTAAGACTCTAAGCAAGTTTCTCTGAGCAAGTTCTTTGAGCAGTGGTCTCTAAGTTTCCCTGGGCAAGTCCTCTGAGCAAGTTTCTCTGAACAAGTTCTCTGTGAGCAAGTTTGCACACCGCCCTTCGAGAGGCTCATTTGGGTTCGATGATCATGTTTTTGGGCTACAGAAGATCACCTGGATCGCCAGTTGCGATCGCTTTTGTCCATCCACTTTACCCCAAAAACCGATCGCAACAGTGACTGAAAAAGCAGCAACTTGGCTATCTAGGCACTGTGTCGGTAGTCAGGACATGCTCTTTCTTAGCTTCCGTATGAATGTTTGTGATCGCTGTATGCTTTCCCAAGTGTGGGCTCAAGCGCATGATGCTGATGCACAGCTGGTTGTTCCAAGAATTCATGTGTCATCCTTCAGGCCCTGGCATGGGTTTTGTAAGCGTCCACCGTCTCTAGCAAAACATACCCGGACAGCGCACATCTCAGGCTGCGGCGTGCACGTGATGGACGACACAGCCTTAGCAGAACACTGGCCCGCTTCCAGCAAGATGGACATACGGACGATTGTGTTTTTTGGTTGGGGAGTGCTCTTTACCTCTTGGCTTAAAGCAAAACCACCATGCTTGGGGTGCTATATTTACACATGTAATGTTTCTGCTTGTTGAAGCAGCACCTTGAGCTGAAATCCCTCAATGTCAGGTGAACACCCTCACATGGTTGGCTGAGAGTTCAAGCTTGACAACTCCTGCGTCGCATGGGCAGGGGACAGGGGGGCCCGGCAAGTTGCTGGGATTTGCCGTTTCCGGAGATAATGAGTTTGGCTCGCCGGCTGGCCGTTGATTGGACGTGCCTGCCTGGAGGGCAGCGTGTGGCAACTTCTCGACCCATTCATGCCGATGCGCTCGCGCACGGCCTCCGTGGGCGAGACCTTGAACGAAGTGCAGAAGAGCAATGGAAAGGAGCAGAAGAGGAAGGAGGACTACAATGAGGGCACTAACTATGTGGCGGGCGGCGTCGAGGCAAACCAGGGTATGGCTGGAGAAAAAAACCGCACAAAGTCAGAAGCACCCTTTAAACCTGTTTTGGGGCGAGGTGCTTAAACGTACCTTGAAACAAGTTGCCGTTTAAAAAACTGTCCTGAAATGTGCTAGGGCCATATATAAGCTTCTGGCCCAGGCGAAGAAGCATTCGTTCAAACACCTCGAACGTTCAAGCTGTTTAGACTCCTGAGCCAGGCTTGTTCAAGCCAATCGTGTTTAAAGACGTTTGTGCCGGGAGCTTGCGGTTTATTCCCTTTGAACACTTCAGCCAGGCGAACCCTTACCTATTCGCTCTGATCATTGCTGCGCCCTTCCTCTCGCTGCTCCTGGCCTACTTGACCAGCACCGAGATGGCCGAGATGGCCGAGGCACACCAGGCCTCACTTCCTGAGTTCATGAACTTTAGTCACTTTTTGGGTTTGGACCATTTTAGCGGTAAACTAAAAAGTTCGGGGCCTTTTTTGGGGCCATCCCCGGTGACAAGGCCAGGGCTCCCTTTGCCATGGTGGCCACGTGTGTCACGGAGCTCCAGGCGTGTGCTGGACATCTGCTGGCCGCCGGCCTGTCTGTCCGGCCGACGGCGCAGGGCGCAAAGTTCGTGCTGGCCTTCATGGGCGTGGCGCTGCTCACCGAGTTCCTGCCGGGCAAGGCGCGCGCGAGCCACGGGCGATTCGAGAACCGAAAACCGAGTCGTAGATATCAGGGGCTCCTTAAAAGAAATGCATCTTTTGCCGGCCCCTGTTTTGAGACAGGTGGCTTTTTCAGCACCAAAATAGAGAAATGGAAACCGCCAGTTACAGATGAAGGTTAGCAAGGGGCAGTCGCCAGAAATAGTTTCGGATATCCGCCTTCTTAATTCTTGAAGCATGGTTCTGGGTAGACCATTTAATACCGGGTGTTGAGCAAGTGACTCAGGTGGAGACGGGCCCCATGACGTTGACGGGCCACGTGCCGCGGTACGTCGACAACGGCGTGCTGCACTGCATCGTGTACACCACGCTGTTTTTTGCGGGCTCCAACCTGGGGCCAGGCGGCCTGTACGACTTTGGCATCATCTATGACGTGTTCCCGGGCACGGTGGCCTTCCTCAACATCTTTGGCATGGTGTTTTGCATCTTCCTCATGCTCAAGGGTCTCTACTTCCCGTCAACGCGGGACCACGGGAGCTCGGGCTCCTTGGTCAAAGACTACCTCTGGGGCACCGAGCTCTACCCGCGTGTGCTAGGCTTTGACCTGAAGCGCTTCATCAACTGCCGCTTTTCCATGACGTACTGGCAGTTGGCCGGCTTGTCGTTTTGCTACCGCTCCTACACGCTACACGGCGCCATGGACTGGGGGCTCTTCTTCTCAGCGGTGTCGCAGTACCTCTACCTCTTCAAGTTCTTCATGTGGGAGATGGGCTACATGCGCTCAATCGACATCATCGTGGACCGCGCAGGCTTTGAGATCCAGTGGGGCTGCCTCGTGTGGGTGCCCGCCGTGTACACGCTGCACACGCGGTTCCTGGTTCCAAACCCATCGGGCCTGTCTTTCGGGCCTGCCGCCGCGCTCTTTGCGCTCAGCATGGCCGGCGTTGTTCTCAACTACCTCGCCGATCGCGAGCGAGACGTGTTCCGTGCTACCAACGGCAAGGCGCTCGTGTGGGGTAAGAAGCCCGAGTTCATCACGGCCAAGTACGAGACCGTTGACCGCGACACGGGCGCCAAGACGCAGAAGACGTCGCTGCTGCTGGCGTCGGGGTTCTGGGGCGTGGCGCGCCACTTCCAGTACTTCTTCGAACTCACAGCCGCATGGTCGTGGTGCCTACTGGCCAACCCCGCCGTCAACGGCGTCATCCCCCTCTTCTACGCCGCCTTCCTCACCGGCCTGCTGCTCGACCGCGCCAACCGCGACTCACACAAGTGCAAGCTCAAGTACGGCAAGTTCTACGACGAGTACTGCAAGCTCGTGCCCTACAAGATCCTCCCGGGCATCTACTGAGCCGAGCTTGCGCTTCTGCGAGCTGGGCAAAGCGCTGGCCTGCTTGGTGCTGATATCCGATGCGGTGAATGTCAGACAGGAAGAGAAGTTTGGTCAGTTCAACTGTGGGGCTTTGCAATGAACATGCTCTGAGAAACCGAGGCCCCGGTTCGGGCATGCTTGCATTCAGTTTGCCGCCTAAGGCGGATCCGGCATGAGATGCAAGACTTAAGGGACGTTTTAGCCTCATGCGGATTCTGCAAGAGCAATCCCTGGTAATGCAAGCATCCCGCTTTGGGAAGATTGTGTGTTGCTTCGGGAGAAGAAAGCAACGATGTGTCTGTGCCATTTCCTGATGACTGCAGCACAGGTGGCGTTTTGCCATCTTGTACCCTATGGGTCCACAGATTCGGTGCCAGGCATCAAAAGAAACTCACCCTGGCTGCGTCTTGTTTGAGGTAGCCTTTGCACAGCTGCTTCGAAAGGAAACCAGAGGGAAACCGACTTGTTTTGGGGTTCTCAAAACAGAGCAACAACCCCCCCCCTGGTCTGCACACAGGCTGGGCCAACTTACCTCTGCGATGACCAAGAGGCAGCTGGGGCAGAAGCGCGCAGCGCGCGAAGCGCGCAAATGGGGATTCCCCTGTTTTAAGAGACATCCAGAATGGCTTTTTCGACCTTCGAAGCTTGGAACTTGCCTCTAATGGAAGTGTGCTCTGACGGGCTTTTTGAAGGGAGTGGTCAGCTTCCATGGATGGAAAGATGGCCACCGGGATGGCAACGCCAGGGTGCTTGAAAATGGTGGGGACGAAGCTTTGCTCAAGGCGGGGACGAAGCGCTCGGAATCTCTTGCGGCTTGGGGATGCCTCGTGAAACCAAAGCAAGAAACCGCCCTGCTTGGAGCTCCCGGTATGGCTATGGTTGTCAAAACCCATGAAATCCCATTTTGGGGGTTTTCGGTGAATTCACCACCCATTTGAGGCTTCCTATTTTAGTGGGGATTGGCATTTCATTGGGGGTACAAGGTTTTGACCCACAGCTATATGGGTGTATGTCTTTTTCCAAAACGGAAACCACTTATTTTGGGGGCACCCCTATTGTTAGACAAACCCTCATAGCACATCTGGGGAGGAGCTGGGGTTTCTTTTGTAGATTGTCACAGGAGAGACGACGGACCCGTTACATGAGTTCCATTATCATGGGTTATATCTAAATGGGGATATGGGTTACCCTCTCCAAACCGGTGGCTTCCCTTTGGTCTTAAAACCTTGTGCTTCGTCGCAACGAAACCATGCGCGTGATGGCGTTGAAAGTTTTCTTGACCACAGCCAGCGCTTTTGGGCTCAGGGAGAGGTGATTCAGTGTGAAGTTTCGTTGAAATGGCAGTGGAACCCATGGCATTTTCGCATTCCAACTTTTCCCCCTCCCCTGACCTTAAGACTGCGTAAGACTTATATAAAACCCATCAACTTGCTCTTACAGCAGGTCTCATCAGAACCCTTTCAAGGTTCTTTGTGGATTTGGGATCTGAGTCTGTCTGGGGGCCAAGGTGAAGGTCAAGGACGTCGCGGGTTCGTGTCAGAACCCTTGGGCACAGCCAAAGAGCGTAGCCCAAAGAGCAGACAAGGTGCCCCTTCACATTTTTCAAAGAGGGGGTAAACCTCCCCACATTTTTTTTAACAAGGGCCCTGTTTAGTGGGGATTCGGATTATTTTCTGGGTCCTCCGGTTCCGGGCTATTTCTCAGTTTTTAACCCGTTCTCCGGGTTTCCAGGAGAATCTCTGAAAACTAGGAGCTTCAGGTGTTTCAAATGCATGAATCAGAAAGGAGTGGATGGCAAAAGGCAGGAGTGAAATCAATCACTACTGTGGATGGACAAAACCCATTCGCACCACTTTGAAACCCGGGGGAAGCCATCGTGTGTTGGTATTTTCGGGGAAATCGAATCATTCCAGGGTTTCTTCTGTGACGCAGGATTTCGTCCATACACAGTATAGGAGTGGTTGTTGGGGGAAACAATTGGAACAAGTCTGTTGTCTTCTTTCCTTGTTTGGGCCCGCACTTCTACAACTCTGTGCACTATCCCATCAATTATGCAAGTCTGTGCACTCGAGTGGGCATTCCACTGCTTTTACTGAAAATGCACTGTCCGGAAACTCCGTCTTTTTTTGATTTGCGGGGATTTGCAGGGTTGTGGCGCGCTCTGCTTTTCGGGTGTGGTGTTTTCCGGTGCCAATCGTCACCCAAAGTTACAATAACTCTGAATTCTGAAGAATTGATTCTGATTCAGGTGAACGATTCTGATTCTGGATATTTCCGAATTGGATCAAGTAGCCAATGATTGCGATGTTTATTGTGCAAGCACATTTCCAGGAGTGACAACCTCTAAAGCTAGGAGTTTGACAACTCCGGGTTTTTTCACTGACACCCTTAAACAGTGGTAGTCTCTGGATTTTACGTTACATGTCCATGATTTGGAAGATCCAGGGATTATGTCTTTCAAAAGCCCCTGATTCAGAACTGACTTTATCAAATCAAGAGTCAGCAACAGCTTGCCCGTGCTCAGTCATTGCCTACTGTGCACGCGCAAGGAGAACCAACAAGACACAAGAAAGTTACATGGACAGTTGCTTGCCTATGGTCTGTGTGAGTGTGCTTTTGTGAGGGTAGAATTGTTGGGGTTGGTTTAAAAGGAACCAGCCACTTTGGGGATAGTCCTATTGTGACACACACACACACGCACGCGCACACACACACACACATGTGTTGTGTGTGTGGATAGTCGGGGCCATGCATAGGAGCCTGGCGAGAGGAAGGCAGAGGCCAAGGAAGAGGCCAAAGAAGCCAAGAAGGAGGTAAAGGAGGAAGTCAAGGAGGAAGACGAGGACGAAATGCTTCGGCTTGTCAACGTGGGATTCATGCACCAAATGGTTCAAAGCAGGTCAAGCCTCGGATTCGGCGTTCAACGGGAGAGGTGGTCTTTTCGGGAGGTAGGTGGCCGCTGGCCGGGAAATCAGCTAAAGGTTTAAGTCTGTCACACCGAATTCACCCATGGTGGTTCATGTGGGGAATGGCCCCCCAACCACCTACCGCAAGTTTCAGGCTGGTGAAATATGATAGTTCCGTACTTGCCGGCGCTCTGGCTGTATGTTCAGCTCCGGAGTTGAGACTCTCAGTGGATTCCTTGTGCGGGAAAATGGAGTTCTGCCAGAGGGGGCCGGTCGGCAGAGGTTCAGAAGTCTTTCGTGTTGGATCCCGAAAACGCATCTGAGTAATATGTGGTATTTTAATGAGTCCCAGGGTAACATTAATGGAAGCCCAGGATGAATAGAGGGGAGTGTAGCCTCAAAAGTGAAGGACGACTGTGAAAAGGAGACCCCCCCATTAATCAACCATAGCATTGAGCACAGACAAAAGTAGCACGGAGAAACGGATTCTGGTTCCCTACCACTTCTCTGAGTTCCATCAACCTTGGAGAGTCCACTTGAGTAGCGTTCAAAACCCCGCTGGAAGAAGTTACTAGGGGTGTTGTCCTCCAAGCTGTTGCGCGAAAGGAATGCGAGGAATCATGTTCGCGAAAGGGGCCGCGAGCTCCGCGAAAGGGTTTCTTGGCCCAGCGTGCTCCGCGAAAAGCAATCTGTGGAGTGGGCAAGATTCGCGAAAGGCCGCGAAAGGGTTCGCGAAGGCAGACATGGAATATAACATCCTGAAGCCTAGGCTTAGACCACCGCTCACTTGGGACCTTTCTATACTGCTTGGTATCTTCTGACCTGTTCAGTTGCCCTGCTTTAAAAGTGTTTAATCGCAGATGTCATCATTTAGAGTAAAGATCCAAAACAAGCAAGCTTTTCTGGCCGGGTATTCGAGCGCGTCAGTCTCTACAGTTTTGGCTTTGAAGGCATGTCGAGCTTTCCGGACAGGATGAGATCGCGGACTTGCTCAGCCAGGCCATCACCTCTTCAAGGTGTTTCTTTCTCCCAGCAAAGGTGCAGGAAATCATGAGGACTGGCCAGGGGGCAGGCAGGCAGGCTATATGCCAAAGCCACGGCTGGTTGCTTTGTGTTTTTCATTGTTTTTGTTTTTTTTTTTTTGGGGGGGGGGGGGGGAAATCAGCACACATGGAAGAAAACCCACAAGTTTGTTGGATGCCTCCAAAAAGTGGGGTGTGGTTTCTGGTGGGGTTCCCTTTTCACAGGGGTCCCTATATTTCCCTTGTTGGTGGTGCTAAACACCTTTTTTGCCCATAAAAGGTGAGCTTCCCTCAGTGATGTTTTGGAGGGGAAAGAAGTCGGGAGCCCTGATTCACCTTGGGAAGCCCAAGTTGGAAGCCCAGCCATGGGTGTTGACCCAGGATTCATAAACATGTCCCATTATTAGAGGGGTGTTCCCTCCAATCCCCACTAAAAGGGGACACCCTCCAATCAAAATCAAGGGGTTTAACGGTTTAACTTCATCCGGGGTTACCATTATCCCTCTGGCCACCCGGCCATCGGCATTTTGAGGCCCCGCTCGAGCAGCTGAAAGGTGGGCGGGCGCGATCGATGCGACGCGTTGAAAGGGAAACCAGATGGAGCGTGTCTTTTGTTGGGTGGCGCCTGTTTTCTTCCTGTTGGCCGTTTAGATCACCTTAAAAAGGGTACCTCGAAAAAGACTTACAAACCGGATGCTTGATTCTGATGTCAAGCTTGCTCTAAGAAAAACCATGGAAGCTATGCCAGGCCATGTGCATTGAAAGGGATCTTTGTTGGAATTCCGGTTTTTTTCTTTGGTTTGCAGGGAGTAAAGCCGTGGTTGATTTCCCCCGAAGAGGTCAAGAACTCCTGGGAGATCGGCTTTTGAGGCCAAAAGAGAAAGCGGAAAGCAGCTGCTTTGGAGGAGGCCGGTGGCATGAAAGCAAGGTGTAAGGCTTGGACACCATTTATCTGTGTGTGTGTGACGCCCTCTTGGTTGGTTTCAAGGGAAGCCACAATGAAATCATACCATTCGTGGAATCTCCTATTGTGGAGATACTCTCATTTCGCATTTTGGCAGGGTTGTAAGGGGGTCATTCAATCATCGTCCGCAAGGTTTTCAGCTAGTATGTGCAATATGGTGTCATCCTGCAAAATGGCACTTGAGCCGGGCAAGCACCACATCTCCCCAAGAATGCGTGCTGGTGAACTTTCCTTAATCCCTCCCTCCAGAAGCATCAGCGGACAACCTTACCAAAGAATGTTTTTTAGGTGAGCCTCTGTCTGTTTTGCAGGCTGATAGTCTGAGATGTTGTGTGGTTTCCCCGTGAGCGTCCGAATCCAAAAGGGAATTCCTGTTGCCGTCTCCAGAGAGACGACCGAGTCCCCGAGCCGTCGCGGTGTTTTTTGTTGGCAAGGACTCGCTCCTTCCAGTGCCGGAGGTGCCCGATGTGGAGACGGACTCGGAGTACCAGGAGGAATCCGCGGTTGTTGTTGGGAAACATACTGTGGATGGACAAAATCCTGCACCACCTAAGCAACCCTGGAATGGTGATTCCCCTGTAAATACCAACAAACAATGGTTTCCCATGGTTTCAAAGTGGTGCAGGATTTCGTCCATCCACAGTATGGTGTTTGATCCCCTTCCGACGTCAACCAACATTTCATGTCATGGACCCTCTGGGGCTGAGGGGGGGGGGGGGCAGGGAGGGGGGGGAAAACATTTTGCATATTTGCTTCTTGTGGTTCAGTGGGAAATCACCGCTTAGCTGCTAAAATTTGATTTGTTGCTCCCCTTCCAACGTCAAAAAAGAATCGGAGACCGGAAGTAATCAAGTCCGGAGTTGGAAAGACCTTCAAAGAAGTTGGGTTGGATGGAGACCTAGTGCAAAAACCGAGGCTCTACTCACAAGCACCTCTTCCTCTGCATCTTCTTCTTCTTCTTCTTCTTCTTCTTCTTCTTCTTCTTCTTCTGCTTCTTCTTTTTCTTCCTCTGCTTCTGCTTCTGCTTTTTCTTCTTCTTCTTCTTCTTCTTCTTCTTCTTCTTCTTCTTCTTGTTCTTCTTGTTCTTCTTGTTCTTGTTCTTCTTCTTCTGCTTCTTCTTCTGCTCTGCTTTTGCTTTTGCTTCTTCTTCTTCTTCTGCTTCTTCTTCATGGTGCGTCGTATTTATTATCCTTTCTTCTTTGTGATTTGTGATTTGTCTTTGTCTTATTCTTCTTCTTCTTCTTCTTCTTCTTCTTCTTCTTCTTCTTCTTCTTCTTCTTCTTCTTCTTCTTCTTCTTCTTCTTCTTTTGCTTCTTCTTCTTCCTCCTCTTACTCATCTTCTTTGCACGCTGACTGGGCATTCCTAGTCAGCGTCCTGATTATTTAAAAACGTGATCCTACTGCCACACGCACGCGCGTGCGTTTCCACACAGACATGCGATAGCTATTCAGCTGTGACACAGTGACACATGTTGCAGTTCCGCTCGTAAAAGCCGCGAGACTACATGTTTGGGTGCGTGGGTGGGTGGGTGGGTGGGTGGGTGTGTGGGTGTGTGTTTGTTTGTGTGTCTGTGTATCTGCGCGCGTGCGTGTCTGTTTGTCTGTTGTTTGCGCCCTCCCTCCCTCCCCTCCCTCCCTCCCCTCCCTCCCTCCCTCCCTCCCCTCCCTCCCTGTCTCCCTGTCTCCCAGTCTCCCTGTCTCCCTGTCTCCCTGTCTCCCTGTCTCCCTGTCTCCCTGTCTTCTGTCTGTGTGTGTGTGTGTCTGTGTCTGTCTTTGTGTGTCTCTGTGTGTGTACATGTGTGTGTGTGTGGTTGTTTCTTTTTGTCCCTCTGTATCCCTGTGTGTCCGTGTGTGTGTGTGTGTGCGTATGTCCCTGTGCCTGTGTGTCCTTGTACGTATACCTATGCCTTTTGCCGTGCCACTGTTTCAGGATTACGAGAGAGAGAGAGAGAGAGAGAGAGATGTCCTGAGTGCTTATTGCTCATCCTAAGCATCTCTTTCTCCTAGCTGCCCAACTTGCAATTTGGCGGTTCCGCGCAGCTCGAGCTGTCCACGTACCCCAAGAAGCTGTACATCGAGGCCAATCGATGCAGTGGCATGCGATTTGCCACAATCAAACCAGGGGAGACAAAGGTTAGTAAGGACTAATCCCAACCATGAATGGCCGCCTTTGTTTAGTTCTTCACATGGTTGTGGGTTGACCATTTTAGTTCATAATTGATGTTGATTATGACTCCTTTGGATTGATTCTACACCGAGGCCTGCTCCTATGAGAAGGTGAATGGCCTGTACAGGACCGGGCGAGCGGTTGGAAGACTGACAGCTGAGCTCTTGGAATACTTGGGCATTCCATTGGGTCAACATTTGCCACGGCCTGGAGGGGGGGGGCGTCTCAAAATGCAGAACCCCTCCGAGAGTTCTCGAGAATGCCTTCCAAGCAGTGGCTTCTCCCGTGTTTTGTCATGCCCGTCCTGGTCTTGTTGTAAAGAGTTGGACTGAGCAGGAGGAATCTCCACAAGTTCGTCAGATGTAAGAACTGTGGGTTTACCAAGGGATTCTCGAAAGCCGGTAAAGGTGATGTGGGGGGTTAATCAATATTCCTGACCCATGGGCAACGTTTCTCATTTCGTAGTTGAAATATCAAATCTGATTAGTGTTTTTCCAACCAATGGTCATCCCTGTAAAGGACCTTTTGATCAATCCCCATTTCGTACTCTGATGTTTTGTTGTTGGGCTCCCCACAGCTGAAAACCGAGCCTTCGGAGCCTTCGCCAGGATCATGACCCAGAGCAGTCGCGGAAGGCGCAGTGAGAGAAGGATTTCTTCATCGTTGCACCCAGGAAAGAATACCAATTCCCCGTTGGACTCAGCAAAAAATACAAACAAAAACCTCCGCAGTGCTCCGAACCTGAAAAGAAGAATACAAGGACATTGGTATGTAACCTGACCAAAAATGTGGCCAAGTCGCAAAGATGTGTTTGCATGCCGTGTTGCCTAGGGACCAAATGTGCTTTTCTTGGAAGAGTTGCAATTGGTTTCCTCTGTTTTCCCTTTGAAAGCAGAAAGATGATTCCGCCACAGAAGATAGATAAGAGAGTCAGTACGTGGTATCGGGAACGGGAATGTGGCATCCCGAACGTGGCCTAGCCACGCGTCCGTTACTCGCTTAGATTTCAGCATGTGACTGTAACCAGGCCGTGTTACTGCAAGACGACCACTGCGAAGAACCTGTTCTGGGCTCAGGTTGCTGAGCGTTCAAGTGAGAGCAAGAAATGCGCAGAAAGATGTTGACATTTGCAGGTACCTCTACTGGTACAGCGCAAGGCGCTGGCACATAGGACTTGACTTCGGGTCAAAGAAGTGTATAGCGCGAGGAGCTCAGGCTGTCGAGAGTTTGCACTGGAGGTGTTGCAGGATTGTGTGTCGATTTCGTGGGTTTATGCTGGGAATCATATGAGGAAATGTCGCGCTAGCTGGGGGCAAAGCAGCCACGTGTGAATGTCCTGTTTTATTTTAATCAGTTTGTGGTGATAAATTGTCCCATGTCCATGGGAAAGAACGGCGACCGAGGAGTGTGCAAGACATGGGGGATCTTGCGCCGCCATTTGAGCCCTACCCGAATGGGTGGAAGGCGCGGGAAGGGACGAGACCAGGGTTGCTGCTTTTTGGGAAGCGAAACCGTCGGTCCAATCTCTTTGGCTACGTCGTTTTTTGAGGGAACCCCGTATTGGAAACCCCTTTTTTGAGGGAACCCCTTTGAGAGAATCCCTTTTAAGGAAATCCCTTTTGAGGGAACCCCTTGTGTGGTTGTTTTTGAAGGGAAGCCAAAAGGAAGGCCTTTTTTTCGCGGGAGTCCCCTAAAAAGACAACACCCGGCCAAGCCTCTTCAGTGCATTCCCAAAGTGTTTGGCACCTGTTTTGGAACTGACTTTTGGGGGGGATTACGGGACGGTAGTCCATAGCACCATTAGAGGGCGCCACTTCCATGTTACAGAAGAGGCGTTGCGCGTGCGTCGGAAGCGTGTCTCGAATTGCCACCTGGCAAAAAAGGGGGCAACCTCCAAGAAGGACCACCAGGTGTTTTCTGCCTCGTAGGTTATGGAAAAGCACCACAAGGATGGGGGCAAGGAGAAGTTGGCGGCGCTCTCAGCTTTCGGCTCCACAAAGTTGGAATCGGAACACATCGGTGGCTTCCTGCAGCTGGTCTCTTTTACCACAAAAAGGGGTGCCCGCAAAAAAAAATGACGCGCCATGTGTCTTGGTGTTGGGCCAAAGAAACAGGTAAGGGGCGGGAAAAAGGGAAAGAAGGGTTTTTTTTTGGGGGTGGCTCTTCCATTCGCCATGCGCCTAGGACAAGATCAAGTGTCCTCAGATGAGGGCAGCGATCTGAGCGGAGAGCCTCCATGTCCGCAGTCCATGTTTGAGCTTCTCAGATGGTGGACTCCCTTGCTGGTTGGTTCAAGGGGAAATTTCTCAGGATGCAACTCTCCCCCTGTTTCACCCAAACCAAGTCCTCAGGGCTGAAGGCATGTCGCCCCTTTGAAACCCCGCTGTCCTCAGGTCATTGATGGGGAGGTCTACGCCGATGCCCACGTTCTTACGGACTGCAAGCTGTCCCCCGGTGTAAAAACCAAAAACAGCAAGGGGAGATCCCAAGCATAAATGGAGAAGCAGCAGCCGCCTTTGTTTAGTTCTCTACATGGTTCTGGGTAGACCATTTTCGTAAAAGGATTTTGATGCCTTAGGTGACCCTCAGGCCCTGAAGTCGAAGCGTCGAAGCGCCAGCGCCCGGCCAACTCAGAGATCGTCGTTTCTCTGGATCAGCAAAGCCCAAACACAAGGACCAGAAAAGCTTGAGAAAACCAAATATTCAAATAGCCAAGTCTTAAAAAATCAAATGCAACCAGAAAAGCATTCCAAGCAAAAACTGCAGAGAATCAAGACAATACCAACAAAAAGCAAAATAACAACCGACACTCTCCCAGAACTCTTGGCACAGTGGGAGCGGCCTCTCCTTTGCAAGCGTGTTTAAAACCGCCAGCGCGGATAGCAATTCCTTGGGTTGCTTTCCAAAGAGTTCCCACATTCGGGGGGTCAAACACCCGTTTCAAAACCTGGCAACGAATAGCCTCTTGCAAGTGGTGATTGAGGGCGCTTGTTTCATGGGGCCGGGGGGGGGGGGGGGAACGCCAAATAGGCCCGTACTAAGGCCTTATTTAGGGATTGCTTGGGCTCCCTCTCCCCTCTCCCCCTCTCTCTCTCTCTCTCTCTCTCTCTCTCTCTCTCTCTCTCTCTCTCTCTCTCTCTCTCTCTCTCTCTCTCTCTCTCTCTCTCTCTCTCTCTCTCTCTCTCTCTCTCTCTCCTCTCTCTCTCTCTCTCTCTCTCTCCTCTCTCTCCTCTCTCTCTCTCTCTCTCTCTCTCTCTCTCTCTCTCTCTCCCTCTCTCCTCTCTCTCTCTCTCTCTCTCTCTCTCTCTCTCTCTCTCTCTCTCTCTCTCCCTCTCTCTCTCTCTCTCTCTCTCTCTCTCTCTCTCTCTCTCTCTCTCTCTCTCTCTCCTCTCTCTCTCTCTCTCTCTCTCTCTCTCTCTCTCTCTCTCTCTCTCTCTCTCTCTCTCTCTGTCTCTCTCTCTCTCTCTCTCTCTCTCTCTCTCTCTCTCTCTCTCTCTCTCTCTCTCTCTCTCTCTCTCTCTCTCTCTCTCTCTCTCTCTCTCCTCTCTCTCTCTCTCTCTCTCTCCTCTCTCTCTCTCTCTCTCTCTCTCTCTCTCTCTCTCTTCTCTCTCTCTCTCTCTCTCTCTCTCTCTCTCTCTCTCTCTCTCTCTCTCTCTCTCTCTCTCTCTCTCTCTCTCTCTCTCTCTCTCTCTCTCTCTCTCTCTCTCTCTCTCTCTCTCGCCAGGCCCCATGATTGTTTAAACTCGGCGTTCAAACAGCGGCTTAAACACCCTCGAAGAAGAGCCACGTCAGAGCTGGAACAACGAACGTTTGTGTGCAAGTCATTAACTTGCTGGTTCGATAGGCAGAAAAGAACCGTCCCCTATGGTTTCCCTTCTGGGATTCCCTAATTCATTGCATTCCCTGGTAAGCACCAGGCCCAATTGAAAGTACCGGGAACCTGTTGCAGGTGGTAATGGAGTTGTGTAAGCACCTCCAATGGCTCTGGTTTAAACCCACCGTCAAAACACCCGATTCAATGTGTAAGCCGCCGTTGCCGGCTGGCCTTTGAGCCTGTTTCTCTTTGTTGTGTGTTTTCCCCCTGGACTAGTTGTTTCATTTCTTTCCGTGCTCTTTGCGCGTGAAATATGGAGCCTGGAAAGCTGTTGTTTTAGAGGAATCTCTTGGGAAATGGATGGGCGTGTCTGCATTTGAGGATTTCGGGTTTTGTTTCCCCGGCAAAGGGGAACCCTCAGACTTAGCCACGCCCAGTACGAGTTCCTTCCGTTCACTCGGTTTCTTTTTCACAGTCGCGCAGGACATCGACCAACCCCTGGAAATCTCGCTGGCGAAGAGGACGTTGGCTTGCATTAGATTTTGCTGTAAGCGGTTGGGGTGAAATCCCCCGTGGATAATGGCACCTTTCATTTGCTTAATAGTATGTTTTATTTTCCCTTGTTGGTATTAAAAGGAATTTATGACTGCTGGAGATATTTCGTGTTTTTTTTTTCGCGGGGTTCTTGACCAAATGGAAGGCACCACAAACTTGGGTTTACATTCCCTTCCGGAGTTCAAAGAAGCACCAGGGGACGAGACATGTTTCTATCCTTTGCGGGAAGCACATATGTTGACCGCTATTTTGCTTGGAGAAGCCGGTCATCGTTTGCCAGGAAAGAGAAAAAGAGCCCAGAGAAAGATAAGGCCGAGTCGCCCATGGCTTAGATCAAAGTTTGGCCGCCAGTTGCTTCTCAGAATGGATTTGGGACCTAACCTAACTCCCTGTGTCTGACTTGTCGTGGACACTCGGCCGCTTTTTCCACGGGTCATTGTCTGACGGGTCATCTCGGGTTCCGGTTCGGCGACGTCGTGGCGCGCCCGGATCGAACAGAGGCCCGAGAGGAAGGCTTCAGCGAAGGCAAAGTCAAGCCCGCCCAGGCGGATCGGCCGGTGCGTGGGGCCTAAACCGGGATACAGAAGACGAGAGCTCGGCCAGTTGACCCAAACCGAGTCGGGTAGATGAAGGTTAGTAAAAAAAACGATCCCGGCCATAAATCGGTGCGGATATCCGCCTTCTTGATTCTTGAAGCATGGTTCTGGGTGAACCTTTTTTGTGCCGGGTTTTGAGTATGACTCATTTGAGATTTAGAAGATGACCCTTCCCACCAAACTAAGAAGACGACAGCCCCACGATTTTGGGGTGACGTGGTGGAAACACAAGAACCCCCTGCTAAGGCAGAGCATGCGTCACTTCGATGGCTTTGCCTTCCAGAAACTGGCAACAGAGGAACCCGTTTTAAAGCGATAAAGTAGTCGTGGTCTAGCCTTGCGCTTAAGAAGGCCTCCAGTCTACTGTATCCATGTTGACCGTGGCTCATGGTTTGTCGGATGACCTTTTCTCTTTGAAGCCAACCAGAGGGGGATGGTCTAAACAAGCCGGTTGATCCCATTCACTACCACAAGAATGGGTAACTAGGTCATTTCTCTTTCCGTTGTTAAAGCCGATTCCCTTCAGTACCAAGCGGCCAAGACACACACCGGCCTAAAGATGGACACCTCCTCCCGCGAGACCGGGGTCGGCGATTTCGCAGGGCATCCCCGAAGAAGGGCCCTGAGCTGGCACGGAGTCCAAGAGAGATGCCGAACAGATGAGAAATGGGGTCTCACCCCCCCCCCCAAAGAAAAAAAACCATCCGGAGATTAACAAACAAATCCATCCGGTTTGGTGTTCTTTAAGGAATCCCCGAAACCGGTTTCCTCGATCTGGTTTCCTTCAAGTGACTCCCCGAAACCGGTTGATTCCACCAGACTCGCACCAAGTTGAAGTTTTTTTTGTTGAACCGAAGACGTGGGTTCTTGAGATGGCCTTTCTTTTTTGCGAAGCCGAAGAACAGCCTGCAATATCTGTCTTTTCTGTCTCTCTCTTTTTGTTTATTTGGTGTGTGTGTGTGTCTTTTTTTGGGGGGAGGGCAAAAGAAGTTGTTTACTTGAAGGGATGGTCCTTCCACTTCAGGAATTCGAGTATTGAGAAGGATAGCTACTCAGAGATGCAATGGCCTGTCGGAGTTGGAAGGTGTTGGACCACTTGGGTGGAGTTTCAACTTTCAACCAGGCAACTCACCGAAGAGCCGGAAAGCAACCCGCCAACAGATGGTCTGTTGGAACTTGGAATTGTCTTTATTGAGTCCATTGGATGTGGGGAAAGGGAGTCTCCCATATTCTCTCCAATTTGGCGAGAGACTCTTGTGGTCAGAGCACCTTTGACGTGCGGTTGGTAGGGGCCGTTCCTGTGCCATTTGTTAGTGGCTACTGAGTGTTCCAAGATCTGAATGGTCGACCCCACGTGAAGAAATTCTACCCCCGCACGCCCAACCGGTTGGACTTGATACGTATTTCATCTTACCCCTTGGTGGTGTGTGGATGTACGGGGGTTGCCTTCCCGCTTAGCTTGAAGTTGAAGCCTATCTCGGGTGCTGCCAGCCCCGCACCACCCTATTCGCGCATAGATTTTGTGCACGCCCGACAGCTTTTTTGCAGCGTGCCTCATAGCACCGCTGTCGCTCGTTCATCCACCCGCGAAAAACCGTCCAATCCCGCGAGCAGCCGCGTTTCGTTCCTTCTCGTGTCCCTCTTAACTCCATCCTGGACACGGTCTCACGCCCTCCACCCATCCAAACTAAACCAGAAGCCAAGCGAATTCCCTGTGGTGGCATGGCCTCCATCATTAGGTGTGTATATATATACACACACGCAATTGTCCATCTACGTATCGGCCCGGACTCTGATACACTTTCTCTGCAGGCTATCAGTGCTGCCCAAAGCAAGCGGCATTTGCCTCAGACGGGGTGGCGATTGTTCAAGCGGCCCTTCGTGCCCCAACCCGACCGACCCCTTGCAAGCAAGCGGTTCCGTGGGCCGAGAACATATCGCCGTTCAAGCTGCTCACCCCCCCGGGCTCCCCGCTGCGCCACGCTGAAGCATGCGGAGATTGACTTAGACGCGGCCACCGACGGTTTTCCTCGAGGCGTGGCGCGCTCTGGACCTACGTGAGAGGGCCGGACATGGCGCGCTCGCCGGACATGGTTGCCCCGTGCCCAAATCTCGCGGCAGACTGGGCTGGGCCATCCCGGATCCGCCGCCCAAACCACGCCAAGCGAGCGGTGCCGTGGCCGTGGCCTAGTGCGCGATACCAGCAGAGAGAAACACTGGGGGGGGGGGGGGGGGTTGGGGGGCTGGGAGGTTGGGAGGTGGGATGTGGTCCAGACGAGACAAGTCGGATTGGGAGGAACAGGCTTTTAGCGACCTCACAAAGTGCCTTCCTCTAAGTTGCCTAATGTTTCTTTCACTTCATCTCACCACTGGACAAGCAGGACTAATCCCCATGGTGTACATCTTTGGTTTGATTATGGCACCACTTGCTTTTGGCCCAGGAAACGAGACAAGAAGGGACTTGAAGCCATTGGCCCTGGCGTATGAATCACGCATCAGGTCAGAATTCTTGGGTGGCCATTTGTTTGCCGGGTGCACTGAGCTTCCATCTCCAGACCGCAGGATGACGAGGCAGCGATGGCTTGGCCGCCGCGTTTGGAGGGCGGAGGTTTCGGGGGGGCGGGCTGAGTTCTGGATGGTGGTTCCCTTGCGGCTTCAAAGTACAGGTCGAGGTGTGCCAAGCTTCTCTAAAACTGGAAAGCCAAAGGAGTGTGCTCAGTTGTTGACCCAAAGGATGATTGGTGCTCATCCGGGCATTCTGAAAACCAAGTCCCATTTGTCTGGGGTCATTTTTTTGACGGTTTCTGGGGGGTATCAAAGTCAGAAGCATGTGGCTTTTTCCCTTTAAGCCACCACTGAACGGGGGTGACTTTGATCATGGCAAAATAAAGAGGCCTGTTTGTGTGACACCTTGCTTCTGAAAACCACCCCGAAGCGGCGAAGCACGGTGGGTTTTCCAACCTCTGGGCCACTGAGGCCTTGCCGTAGCTTGGGGCTAAGGATGTCACGAACCTCTCACGGAAGTTACTCGGTGGCTCCCAGCCATCCGATTCCTGAGTGGTTTAGATATGTTTTTTGTTGCGGTTCCATTTATCCCAGCAAAGTTAAACTTTGAGCAGGGGATCAGTTTGGACAGCCCAGGTTACACAACCCATGTGATGGTTCTTCTCGAGTCAACCATGGTCATGATGGCCCACAGAAGGAGCTGTTTTTTGTTATAGCCATGAACGGTGGCACTTCACCCTCATTTACTGCAGAAAGGGCACGGCATTGGTGCACTCACCGGGCTAGGAATGAAGGTGCTAGCATCCAATGCCATTGGAGCCCATATGGCTGTGGTTGTCAAAGCCGTTTTGGGATCCCATTTTGGGGTAGGTGAATTCACCACCCATTTCGGAACCTATTGTAGTGGGGATTGGGATGTTCACTGGGGGGACGGGTTTTGACCCATGGCCATATTAATCAACCCCAGTTCATTACAAGGGGTGTCCCTGGGTTTAGTGGGGAATCATCACTTTTGGAGGAAAACACCCCCGTATTCAAAACTGGGATTGATTCATATAATATGGGTCAACATTATTCATTGACTGCGGCTCATTTTGAAGACGATGCATTTTGTTGGATCTTTGGGTTTATGGCAACTTTCTGCGATACCCGTGGGCATCCTTTTTCAAACGTTGAACCGCATCATGGGAATGGGAATCTCACTAAACCGAAGAACAGAAAAGTGGGCCCTGTTTGTTGGAGGGTACATGTTCTTTGTTGGTTTCTTTGAAAGGGAACCCCCAAAGAAAAGCCCCAGAGAAACCGGGCCACATGGGTTGCTGTCGAAATCGATAGGGTCCAGACAGCTTTGTTGGGTTTCAGATGTTTTAACGCGGGGCCTTCTGAAGACCAATAACATAACAAACTCACCTCGAACTGGCAAAGGTGATGTTTAAGCTAACCCACAAAAAGCAACTAACAAGATTAAGGATCCCCTTTTTCCGTTCTTAATACTACCCACAGCGTTTGCCGTGCTGTCATGCGCCCAAAGTTAAGATTCTGTTGAATTAGTTGGTGTCCTTTCGGCTTTCCCTTTAAACTATCAACCCCAGAAAATGGTATCCAACCAATCATCCCTATATTCAAGGGTGGACTCAAAGGAGCGAGTGGCAAGGGGTTTCTTAGCAATCGGATTCCTGAGTTGGTGTGAAAATGTGTCACATGTGGAATGGAAATTCGAGCTGAACACTCTGTCTGGATAAAATGTGTTTAAATGTTAGCTTTAAAAAATGGAAAGAACATCCTGTGCAAATGTTAGTTTAACATGAACGAAAACTAGCTGACGTTCCAATCTAAGATAGTATGATTGGATTGTGTCCTTGTCAAGGTATGTGTTTTTTTTCTAGTTGAATTGTGAAGATCTATTGGGTAAATTCTAAACTCAAAATGAAATTGGGAGCACGATTCTAAACAAGTATTGTCTTCGGATTTTAGAGAGCGTCCGTTGGTGGAGATGTGAATTGAGTACGAAGAACACTGCAACAACACTGACCATGGTAGTGCTGTGCCTAGTAACAAAAATGATGTTGGGACCTCTGAATTATTTCCTTTGAAGTCTTAACCTTATCAAGCTCTACTTAGAGTCCGGCTAAAACTGAATATAATTTTATAAGGAAAGCATCCAATCAGAGGAAGCCATCTCTAGCTTGCTGAACCAGGGCCGGGGGTCAAGTGCACTTGAACACAGAAGCCCTTGCAAACAGGCCGGCAACTGGACAATGCAAAAACTGACTTCCCCCCCCCCCAGTCAGGACAGCTGACGTACCGTTGTTTCTGTTTGTTTTCTTGAGGTCTTTCACACTTCTCCAAAAAGTACTTGAGAGACCCAAAAATACAAGAGTAAGCACCCGAAGGCAGGACAGCTGGCAAAGTCTTGCGTTTTGTTTTGTGTTGTTGGCTTTTGTTGTTTGGTTTGCTCGAGAGCTTCTTTTTTTCTGCCAACACCATCGCGAAGACATGTGCAAACAGGTGCGCTCCCAAACCGTCCTGTTCAAACAAGCAAACAAAGAAAAAAGTGTGTGTTTGTGTTTTTGTTGGCGCGAGATCGGTTTGTGGATTCAGAGTGTTTTCTAGCGTCCTTGGAGGGGCTTTTTCGTGGTTGCTTGTGTCTTGGGAATGCTATCACTTGGTTTTCTCGAGATGTGTCCCAGATGCGGATGCAGAACCTTATTGTCATGCACAAGCTGTATGCTCAGGGTACCGCGTCCTGCAAAAAGTTGGGTTCACACCCAACCCCAAAGCTTGCTGGTGCGAGACGTAAGAACTGGAATGAACCGGACCGGGATTCCCTTTTAGTGGAAACCACCCCAGACTTTGGTCCCCAAACGGGAAAAACATGAAGAAAAAAAACACCAGTTTTTTTTTTTTAATCAAATCGGACTCCATGTCTCAGGGCCCCTGCACCTCTCGCATATGCCTTCTCTGGTGCATCTTGCCAAGGGATGTTAGGACTTGAACTTGTTAGCCAAGTAATGGGTGTTCCGTATTGAACCGCTAAAAGTTAGCGCAGGGCTCCTTAAAAGATCTCCATTTTGCAAACATTTGAAACATGGCTTTTTCCACCAAAATAAAGGGAAACCAGCATTTACAAGGCAATGTTCAGGTGTAAAATGTAAGGATTCCTGTTAGTCACTTTTGGCAGGGCTTCGAAGAAAGCATCCAAAGCCTTGGCGTCTCGGTGTGCGATGTCCCTCGACGCCACGTGCTTTCGCCAGGTGGAGGCCGCGCAGCAGAGCGCCGGGACCTGAGGCTCTCGAGCGACGCGATGAGCCGATGGGCGTGTCGTGCGTGTGGTGCGTCGGGTGCCGTGCTCTCAGAGGATGGGCGGATGGGCGAAATCCATTTCGCACCGCACCAGATTTTGTTCCCAGGTGAACTGATTGTTGGTTGGTATTTACCAGGGAATCGAATGGTTCCAGGGTTCTGAGGTGGCGCGAAATGGATTTGGTCATATGTGGTCCATCCACAGTATGAAGGCAAACTTCCAGTTGGCTTTTTGAGAGGTGTGAGTGCTTCTGAGACATGGAGACGAGTTCAGAAAGAGGATTATTTGAAGAGTTGATGTGGTAGAAACCCAAGCTTTTGCTTGCTTGTCCGCAAATTGGTCCCAACCTCGGAACCCGTCGAACAGAGCAAGCCTGAGGGAGGAGCCAAAGGTTTACTTGGACGGAACAAGAGAAAAGCAAAGAAGCATGAAAGCCCACCCTATCAAACCATGGTTTGGTGCACAGCTGACTCTTCCGAGGAAAATCGGCGTCCCAAAACAAATGGGGGCTGAGGCTCCCAAGTGCAGTGGGATGAATTTGAAACGGGTCCCCCAAAATGCCCAAAATGGCCCCGGCAAACACATACGCCGAATTGAAGCCCGTGCCAAATGGCTGCCGACACGAACGCTGGATGCAACTGGATTTGATTGATGTCAGCTGGACCTCACTGAAAGGGCCGTCCCGACCGCGGCCCAAGACAAGAGGGAGCTCCGGCAAAAGTGCTCAACGTGCCAACACAGAGTGAAACAAAGAGAACACTTACACAACAGCCGGGTCTCATGCATGGAACCCGCAGAGGTTTCCAGTTGCCATGTTTCTCTGAGACCGACCTTGCTGTTCAACGGGTTCCGGACGAGAGCCGTCAAGCCATGACTGGCAAGTATCTGGTGTATATATATATATTATACATTGGCGATTTCCCCATTCATTCCTGTTTCAAGCAACTGGCATGACTAGCCACTATGTAGGTGATACATATATATACATGTTATGTTTGGTGCGACTTCATGAGAGTTGGATTGAATCTGCTGGTCTAAGGACAGTGATGACGAGTCCAAGGCACATCCGGCAACTGACTTCCAAAGTGAGCAACACTTTGACGTTCAAGTCCAACACCCAATGAGGGTTTGGTCAAGAAATTAGGAAGTCATTCACTTGAGTTCATTTCCCTTGCGCCTTTTGCATGTCGTGGCTGTCAGGTGAAGGATTCCCAGCGCTCCTCTCAGCTTTCCATGAGGAACTGGTTCAACTTGAATGGGCTCAGGAGATCGGGCAGCAACGCCTCTGAAAGCGAGAGTGAAGAGTCCTGGCCCTCAGGACGTATTTGAAGTGGCAAGAAAGGGGGATTTTGGAAGTGAAGGATGCCCCCCTCAAATGGGATACCTCCCCTATTGATCAACAAGGGTTTGTGGTTTCCGTTTTGGGTGGTTTAAACATCACCAGGGCCATTTTGAAATGAGTCTCCTTAGATGATGTTGGTTCAGCCCTGAACTGGAACAAGGGCCAAAACCATCAGCAAGCATCTCGAAAATCGATGAAGACCCTGATCCACGGACCCCTAAGAAGGGCTACGGGGAGGCGGGGTTATTTCTTATTAACCTCTAAATTCCGGCCCTTGTCTAGGGATAGCCCCCCTTCGGGGATCCGTGACTGATCAAGTTGTTTTTGTCAGAATCCAAGATGGACCCGAGGTCCTCGTCCTCCGAGTCAGCCTCAGAGGCGGGCTTTCTAAGTGCTTGCTGGTCCCCTGACTCCAGGCTCCTCGGAGGGCTCCTGTAGCACAGGGCTACGCTACCGCCCCCGCTGTTTCGCAGGCTGAGGCGCCCGACGAAGACTACGAGGCGCCGTTCTCGTGCAAGTCCAGCCCCAAAAGAAGACCACAGAACAACGCGCTGGGTACATAGCTGGACCGGTTCGCACCACTTAAGGAAGTAAATACCAACAAACAGTGGTTTCCCCTGGCTTCAAAGTGGTGCGAACGGATTTTGTCCATCCAAAGTGTATCCCATTCTGTGTGTGTGTGTGTTAGTTGTTGCTCTCTCAATTTCCGGCACGAAAATCCGGTTAAAAGCGGCTCCGTGCCCGGACATTCCGACTGACGTTACCCCAAGATTGTTTCTCAAGTTAACGTTCTACTTCTTGGATAGTTGAAGGAGAATGAAGGAGAAACCAAAAGGACATCTATGAGAACCACGTGTGAAATGCCGACTGTCTTCCTGTTCGTGCGTTCCTCCGTTCCGCCCAAAGCAAACTTGTTGCGGCCTTTGAACAAAAGTGTCGAGGCGATGAGCCCTGCGACCAAACACATCGTGCAGAAGCTTAAGACCATGGTCCCAAAGGAGGACGCGGGACTCAGCCAGCCTTTTTGGGGGTCTCAAAAGGTTCCCGTTGGTGTAACCTTCAGCCATGTCACGTTTAAGGTGAAAAGATGCCCACTCACAAAAGTTTACTTGTTGCCGGGGGGTCTACAACCCACCCACTAGGGACTTTTGCCGACACACTCTTCAAAGGATCCCAAATGCCCGCGTGGTCCCCACTCAAAGGGGTTCCGACTTTCGAGTTCGCCAAAATCGGACTCACCGAAGCGAATCCAGGCTTTACCCTCCCTAACATGACGCATTTCTTTCGTCCGCCAAGATAAATTCCTCAAGGGCCCCACTGGGAGCCATGGCAGAGGGTAACGTTGCGGTTCCTCAGTCCCTGAGCTTCTGGAGGCCCATGGGGCCGTTTCTGATGGCTCGGAGTGTCCGTCTCTTGGGGGGAGCCACCTGAAAAAAGTCGTCGGAGATTAACAAAAAATGCTTCCATACTTTTTTGGCTATGCAGCAACTGATCCGGAGTGTGTTACGAGATCGAAAACCCAGGTGGCTCCTTTCCAATTCAATCATTTCAGGTTTTGGATTTTTTGGGAAATTTGTGGACACCCACCAAAATGGTGGGGGACACCCACCCAAATTTGTGGCATGTTGAGGCTGCGACGAAAGCCGAGAAGCTCTTCGGGTCAATTAGGCCGGCGCCTCGAGTGGAGGTGGCTGCAAGCAATCCGTTTTGACATGCTAGCTGCATATGTAAGTGTGTATATATATATATATACATACATAGGTGTGTATATCTATAATGTATATATATATATATATATATATGTGCATACATATATATATATATATGTGTAAGCATATACCTGCGTATGCATGTAGTGAAAAGTACTTCAGTGCAAAGGGATGTAAGTCAACTATATATATATATATATATATATATATCATGTACGGCAACACAACACAATGTGATGTTCATGTCATCTAGTATTTAATGTAGGAAGTGCCGGGCAACGCAATACAACGCTAAAGAACATGTGTAGTGCAATCGATTATGATGCAATGCAATGTAATTAAAGCAATGCAAGTGTAATGTAAACGTAATGTTGCATGATATGACACAGCTGTGCCATCAATATCAAGCAACACCACGTGTTGTGCAATGTGATGGAATGCTATGCCACACCATGCCGTTCCTTGAAACTCAACGCAATGCAATGCAGCGGTGCAATGCAACGAAATGTCTCGGATTTCAGTGCAATGCAATGTAACCAATGACATATTATATATAGAACAAACTATGCGTGTAGCTACGTTGTTACATGTTTGCCTTGTGTTTGGGCCATGGATGTAGTATCAGGGGTCGTGCGACGTGATGTGAGCAGAACGGCAGATAAGGGTTCAGGCGATTGAAATGGCTTGTGCCAGGCAAAAAATGAGGAAGGGTGGAAGCGCTGTGCCGGCCTCGGACGTTGAGCGTCGCAATGCACGCGTCACTTGCCGCGCTCAGCCTGGCGGGATGTCGCACACCGACGTGAAGCATCTTGCGGCTTGGTGCCACAGGCGGGGCCTGGCTGCTGGTTTTGCTGCGCAAACCCATCCCGAGCTTACCCTACCAAACATGGCTTGGTCCACAGATGACATTTCAAAGAAGTGTGTGTTTCTTTCAAAAGAGACGACTCTGCGCCAAATGAGCAGGGAGGATTACGATTCTCCTTGCATTTGTTGATTGGATCCCCTTCGATGAAAAGAAGATTGGCATCTCAGCCACGGAGTTGTTTCCTCGGCGGAAAAGAAGGGGCGTCTTTGAAGAAAGATGTTTTACACTAGAGGGGTCTCTTTGTTTTCCACAATTCGTTGTATTTGTTTGATGGAGCTCTTTCTGGGCTGTGACAACAGGAAGCTAAAGGAATGCCGCCTATTTGGAGAGCATCCTCTTGACCACCAAAAAGTTAGTGGTTCTGCCACCTGGTTTCACAGGGGTTGGAGCCAAAGGAAGTTGAACAAGACCTTCCGTAGTTCTGGAGCTAATTGAGATTAGCTCTCTCTAAGAAATATGCATGACGCGTAAAACAAACCATGAAAAAGCAAGAAATCGTGTGAAAAAGCTATGACAAAGCACGACATCGCCAGAACTGAGGCTCTTCCGCATGTGCGCAAACCACCTCGGTCGCGACGCCTGACAGGAGGCGGGCTCGGAACGGGTGCGGAGACGGGACCATTGGCACGGCATCGCGCGCGCTGCGAAGCGCAGCTCATCGGTGAACCCTGCGCGGACTTTCGGGCGGGTCGACCTTCAAAAGCCCGTGGCTGTTAACGATTGTCACTTCGCTCTCGCCACCTTCTGCACACTTTCGGTGAGGCGGGGTGACCTCGAAAACTGGTGTTTTTCTGCATACATCAGCTTGCGCAGTCATCAAGGCGTGAACGCCTCTTGGTGGGTCAGCCTCCAAAAACTCGGCGCCGCTTGCATCCGTTCGCTTTCGCGGGCTAGACAGAAAAGAAGAGAAAGAGGGAGAGAGAGAGAGAGAGAGAGAGAGAGAGAGAGAGAGAGAGAGAGAAGAAAAAGAAAGAAAAGAAGGAAAGGAAAGATAGAAAGGAAACAAAGGATCGAAAATCAAAGAAGGACAAGAAAGGAAAGAAAGAAAGGAAGGAAGAAAGACGAAGACAAAGACAAGGAGGGCAAGAGAAGAAAAGAAGGAAGGACAGAAAGAAAGAAACAATGAGAAGAAAGGAAAGTAAGAAAGAAAGAAAGAAAGCAAGAAAGAAAGAAAGAAAGAAAGAAAGAGAGAGAGAGAAAGAGATAAAGCACAAAAGAGAAAGGCAGAGAGAAAGAGAAAGAAAAAGAAAAAGAAGAAGCCTGAGAAAGAAAAAGAGACAAAGAGAGGGAGAGAAAGAGCGGAGACAAAGACAAAGAGAAGAAAGACACAGAGAAAAGCGAAAGTGGAAAGAGAAAAGAGAAATACAAACAGCAAGAGGAAAGGCAAAGAAAAAGAGAAGGAGAAAGATGAAAAGAGAAACAAGGCAAAGACAAACAGAAAAAGGGAAAGAGAGAAAAAAGCTGTTCGGGCAGGAACGGAGAAGCTTGCTCTGGTCGACGAGGTAGCTGCAGCTTCTGCGGCGACCTACTTGAGCTGGAGACGAAGCCCAGCTATCAGCACAGGACACTCCACCTCGAGCTGGGCGTGGCGTGCTCGACGCGAAGGGCCAAGGACCTCGTGGGCGTGGGCTTGGCCATCTCGCCGCACCGGATGACGCGCAGGGGAAGCAGCCTGCCCTAAACTATAGATGTTGTATGTTTGAGACTTCCGCCCCCCGGCTCTGCCGAACATTCATGGTAAGAGCCTGGGTGGTTTTAGAGCAATGCTTCGCCGCTGCTCGTTTCACAAGTACTTTCAAGGAGCGCTGTCACGCGCCCCTAGCGCACCTCCAAGCTAGTGCCTGGGTTAGGTTACTCGCCCACACGCAACCCTTTTCTCTTGAGACTGTGGGCGGCTCGCGCTTTTTGGATTTTGGATTATGAGGTTTGGCATCCTGAGCAAGCTGCACGCATGCTTTGCCGATCAGCGTTTGCAACTATGAGTTCTGAGTAGCTCAGGCGGAGTTTCCCACAAGATCGCAGGCCCTTCAAGTAATCTAGTATGGAAGGACAAGCTGGTTGTTTCTTCTATTTCGCCTACCCCTCAAAAATGTGTGAAGAACCCAGAGAGCCCAAGGGAAACGCAATTTCAGCTCCACTTGCGCGAGGGTGTTGAGCTCAGTGCTCTAAGTTTAAGAAGGTTTGCGATGGAGCGCAATTTGAATTCTAGTGTTGAGCTGGTTGTTAGTACCAACTACTTCCCAAGCAATGTAACGAGAATTTAAGTGAAATCTAGTAGCTATGTTGTGTCATGTTCACTCTCAATCGTGCAGTTTGGATTCATCAAAAGTTCAACACTAACAACCTTGTTTCCAGAACTGTTGCAACATGAACTCTTTTCCAATGAGTTTCCAGATCGTTTGAGGTTTTTAGGTTTTTGGAGATGCTTTATGTTTGCTGTTCTTCTCTAGCATGTTTTGGTTTTGAGTGAGCAGCTTGACCCACACAAAGATTGGAAGCCTCAGAACGAGCAAAAGACGCACTATCACGGCCCGCTCTGGATGTTTTGGGGTTGTACCTCTTTTTGTGGGATGCCCTTGTTGGCTCCTTACGCAAAGTGCATCCCTTGGATGCTTGTTCAATTTTCATCCCGCAACAACAACATCGTGCGAGCCAAAGTGCGCGAGGCACCTCGGAGTTGCGGCTTCTCTGACGAGGCGAGCAGGGATTTTTACATCATAGACCGAGGCCTCTTTCAAAGCCCTTTTTTGCTCGGGGTTTCAGTGTTTTTCTGCACTTTGCAAAGAGTTGACTTCTGGGGTTTGAACACCTCGGCCGTCCAGCATCTGAGACATCTTGCCCTTTGCTAGCATGGTAAGAAATATTAACAAGATTACGCCTTGGTCGACCAAAACCCTCGCCCGCAGACTCGTTTGGACCTGGGGCGACACCCGGCTTCCCAAGTGTCCCTTGCCCTTAGAGAGACGCAGGTAGGTTGAACCCACTTCCCCAGTTCATGGACGTTAAAATTGTTTTTGGGAGACCAGTGGCCGCTTGTGTGGCAGATTCAATTGGAGCCCCCTTTTTGGAGAGAGGAAAACCCCAGTTTGGGGGACCGTCAAGCCCCTCGGATTTTGTTCATCCAAAAGGCCACGCCGATTCCGATTTCCTCGAAGGCCAGAGGCGGCAGCACCCATGTTGGCCGAACAGCCGCAGACGCCTCCCGACAAGGACTATTTGGTTACCCACGTCGAGTGATTCCATTTGTTAAAGGGTAAACCCCGCCCCCTTGTTTGGTTAGTTTTAAAGGAGAGAAAAAATGGAAACCACCCTTCAGTTCAGTCCCAAAAAACGAAGGCCACGGCCCATTCAGTTGGAATTCAACCCATGGCGTGCTGAAAGAAAACCCCGGGTTTTATTCCCTGTGACCAAATCAAAGAACACAGAATACTTCAGGATCAAACAACAAAACACAATAGAACCGACGACCAAAACAAAACCGATACCCTGGAATCATTGTCGTTGGTCAGGAGAACCCTGTGATTTGGAACTTGGGTCCCTAGTTGTGGCAAATAGGGTTTTAGGACAATTTTCTGCAATACCAAGAGAATCCCCTTGCCAGTGACAAAGAAGTCATGCGCATCGCCTGCTTTGGTATCACAGAATGGATGAGGGATGCCCAAATAAGATTCAGCATGGATGGCTATAAGGGGAAAACCCCACATACTTATGACGATTCGGAGTGCACCTGCGCTTTTTGGCAGGATCCGCCCCGGCAATCTGACACGCAGATGCCGTCTCGCCCGCCAAATTGAGTGGCAAGTTCTCAAAGGGTTGGTACAGGGGCTTCAATGTCTAGCTGGTGGTTGGACCGGAGCTAAGGAGCTGAGGGTATACAAACTCCTCTTGAAAGAGAGGGAGCCAAGGAGCTACCAGGAGTATATGGTCATGGCAGTTCAGGGGCATTTCAGATATGTATTCTGGAGTTATGAGGCTTGCCCAGCAGTGGATGGAAATCCACTCCCATCGGGTGGGGTTGGTATTTGATCGACAAGCATCGATAGGGTATTGTAATTATTCACACAATAAATCCCAGTTGTCACTAGAGTAGGCGACCAGGCAAGTTCCTTATGTCTTTTGAAGGGTGGTTTCCTTGGTGACCTGTCAGCGTGCAAGGCAGTACTGCGATTCAAATGTTTGGTTTCTTTGGGTTTTTGGGTGAACTCTGTGCAACGTGGCCCCCTTCTACAACCAAACATGTCCATTGTTAGACCACCAAACATGTTCTTTTGGTGGCTCGTGTACAACCAAGCAGGTCCTTGGTGAGCCTTTTACAGCCAAACATGTCGTTTTCGTACATCCAAACATGTCCATTGGGTGGCGCCCCCTTTGGCAACTTCAAAAGAGTACGAACCCCACACACGCCCGCACCATTGCTAAATGAAAGTTGCAACCGCCAACTCCGCCCGCGTCGACTTCTCATGGCTGGGGCTTGCCCCGAAGGTCCCCACTCGCACAACCAAAAAAGAATCTTCACAGTTCTCCGGACTCGGTGATCCTTAATTTGGGTGTGTCTCAAAATAGGGGAACCACCAAACAGATCGGTGTCCTTTTGGTGCTCGTTTAAAGCCATCCAACAAGGGTGTCCAAAAGACACTCACTCCGTGAGTTCCTGGACTTTAGTCACTTTTTGCGAAGACAATTTTCATGGTTGTTGTTGATAAACGTTTTACATTTTTGTTTTTTGTGGGTTTGGTGGGAAATCCCTAGTTAACTGCTAGAATTTAAATGTTTGCTCCCCTTCCAACATCAACCAAGGTAAGTGAGGCTCACGTTTTGCGCGCCAGGCACCTCTATGCCCAGCCCAGCAAGTCGGTGCGCGCAAGTAAACCGACGTCAGTCCTGGGCGCCATCGGAAGCACACCAACCACAAGACCATGGCAAGCTCAATAGATTACGGGTCCCTGATTCCTCTTCTGGCAATATTTGGGTGCGGACATGTTTGACAATACAAGTCAACGAGAATACATGGTTGCTGGTTGAATCACTTGCAACACTTAGGTATCAATCTTTGGATGGGGTACACAAAATTCCATCTTTACTTTAAGTGTCCCTTTTGAGTGGCCACCAAAACAAGAAGTTGTTCCAAAAACTAGGTCCCCCAGTAGTGCCCTTTTATCGTTTCTTTTTTGGGGGAGGGTTCCGCTACTAAAAAAGACAAAAACGAAAAAAGTTGGTACCAACTTATTGTAACCTCTCAAATCTGGAGGACCTGGAAGATTTTTAGCTGGGACACCGAAAAACGGTGGGGGGGGGGGGGGGGTTTTCCGGCTTTTTCAAGGCAACCCAAAACGGGTACCAACAAAATGCAACAAAACGGGTACCAAAAAGCCTTTTCGCAGGGTTGGTGGTGTTCTGCAGCCTTGCTGGGGTTCTTGGCGCAGGTGCTGAGACCACCCGGAGCGCCTAGACCGCGGCAGCCCCGCCTCTTGGCAACCCCAAGGCCCAAGCTCTCCCACAAACGACGGCCGGTTTGCGTGGAAAGTTGAAGAGTCTCGTCTCATCCCAAGGGAACATAGAGTGCGTATGTTGACCGATGTAGATCCCATCTCTGGGTCGGGCATGTCTACGCCACCCCACCACCAGCCCACCCGGCCTTCTCTGATTCCCGACAGAAGACTCTGACAAGACCCTTGAAGGGTTGGCTCCTATGATATTTGGGCATGTCAAGCTTGACTGACACCCCTTCACACCAGCCCCTCAAAAAGGGCAGCCTTTTCCACAAAACGTGTCATTTTGCCCATTTTCCTGAAGTGTCTTCCAGCTTGTGTTTTTCCCTGTGGTGCCCGTGATCCCAATTTTTGACATTAATCGTCCTGCGGGATTCATTCAGCCCCTCTCGTCTTGTCTCAGGTCGTGTGCAGTATCCTGCGGACAGGCACTTGAAGCTGGAGGCCTGCCGTGACCCCCAAATTGTCCAGTTGTTATTTATTTACTTATTCATTTACTAATTTATGTATGTTGTTTATTTGTTTATTTGTTTATTTATTAATATATTTAATTATTTATGCATGTGTTTTGTGTCGTGGTCGTCCACTCACTCCCATGTGTCAGGCAACTGGCTTTTTTTCGGCCTCGGTTGAGGGTCTTGTTGGGGGGAGTTTCAACTTTGAGTGAATATGTTATGTGGGGGCGGGGAATAATTTTAAAAGGATTTGGCTGAACCCAATCGAAAACGGACGGGTATACAGATGAAGGCTAGTAGGACGGTCCCCCCCTGTATTTCAAGGCGGCACCAAAGTTTGAGTTGGTCGCAAAACATGGGCCGCTGGTTGTAACGTGTTGACAAATCTGAAGTCCAAACTGAGTTCCATACTTTGTCAGCTCCACGTTGCCGCAGGTTCCGATTGAGTCCTTCAAGACCTACGGCGAGGGTTTGTGGCTGGAAGCAAAGTTTGCTTTTGCTCCATTTGCAGCGGATATGTGTGAACCGTTGGCCTACTTGGCGGCTAAATACACAAGGGTCCCTCCAGTTGGTCCTTTTTGCACCTAGGCACTTTCTCTGGAACCCACCAAAAGATTGATCAACTTTTGAGGGGAAATCAAGTTGCTGACATGGCCATGTTTGGTTGGCCGAGGTTTCAGTGTCCGGGAGCAATGGTCAACTGCGACACCTGCGACAGGCCCTTGCCATGGGTTTGGTATCCGTCAGCTGCAGCGTCCCCGATGTTTTCTGCTTGAGAATCCAAGGAAATGCACTGAACGTCAAACGCTGAGCTGGTGTCATCGGGGAATTCTCGAGGACTTTGGCAGAAAAGCCAAATCCAACTTCCAGAGCTTTGCCAGCAGTGTCCATGTGACCAAGGCCAAGGGCCAATACCGAAAGGCTTCGTCAGAGCCAAATAAGCTCAACATGACATATGGACATGTTTCAGGGGTCCTTGCTACGGGTCGAATGTCACCCAAGGGACCCTGGGATGCACCCAATCAACTGGAAAGGTAGCCCCTTTTCAGCTACATCCATGTGTGATATCGCTTATATTCTTTGGAGGCGTTAGCGGCCTTGTTTTACATAGGTGCAAGTAGACCAGGACGACCTCCCCTTTTGGTTTGTGCTTAGCACCAAGACGGTGCCCGGAAGTGTTTGGAAGCTCTCATGCGCGTCAAACGGGGGAGCGGGGCCAAAAGGCAATGTGTTCAACTCCGCTCGACCAACATCACCTCAGGAAACTCAGCTTTTGCGGAACTCAGGTGATGCCTCCGGGAAAACCAGGGCTTCCATGTCCATTTGAAGGGAACCTGCGTAACCACCCGCGGATTTCTGCAGAAATCCTGAAGCATGGGGGCCATAGAAACCGGTACCCAAAGTGGCACCAATGCAAACAAAGACCACCTGCGGTAGCCCTGGCTCTTGAATTTTGAGCCACACCCATGCCTCCTGACTCAAAACCCCCGCAGCTCTTTTTTAATCCGCCAGGGTCATCCCGCAGGGCTTGGGCTCTCTGCAGGCGAGAGCGATGGGACTTGGGCCCCGACCATTTTTTCGCCGGAGTTTGAACACCAGGTTGGCCCAAAGGTGAGATTCCCTCGTGACGGTTTAAGGGGAAGTACAGGGAACTCTGTTTGTTCAAGCGATCAAGGTGCTAACTGGGGGGTTGCCCTGATAATGCCAAAAGGCCCAACTTAAGCAGAGAAACAACGAGGGAAAGAAGGGCTTGCCAGTGCCGCAAGCCTGTAGAAACATCTGTGCCGTTTAAGGGGCAAAACATATGCCCCACAAGGCCTTTGTTGGTTTGTTGCTGAAAAAGTGGGTCCCTTCAAAGCAGCAGTCCATGAGAACCATTCCCAGGACTCCCGATCGACCGATGAAAATGCCAGGGCGCTCCAAGCAGATCGCAGTTTGCACAGCACTTGCCCTTTGGATGCAAAAAGCAAAAGCCAGAATCGATGGCTTGGTGGGCGTAGAGTTGTCCCTTCCGGAAATGTGTGTTTTTCTTGAGGGTGCTCTGTGTTGTGTTGTTTTTGAAAGGAGAAAACCGAAGGGATATCATGGGGATCCGAATTTTGACACAGAACCAAATAAGTGCGGAGAAAACTCGGCTCCTGAATTATCAGGTGAGTCACAATCAAAACCCGGGTAGATGAAGGTTAGCAAGGGACGATCCCAACCAGAAATAGCTGCGGCCGCCTCCAAAATTCTTTACATGGTTCTGGGTAGACCAGTTTAATATCGGGTTTTGAGCAAGTGACTCGTTGATTCCGACACTGAGCCCAGGTTTCTCTGCTCAGACTGCAGTCGATGAGCTCAGCGCGCGCGAATCGCCTTCGTAACATGTATTCCATTGGGCCATTGTTTTCAAGCAACATGCTGTGTCAAATTAGGGAGGTGGACCCACGGATGGCGTTTCCTTTCGGAGGATTAAACCCTGAAAGGGGGACCCCAGTTTAAAAAACAAAGACAAGACACTCCAGCCCACATGACAACCCGTTTTGAGGGGTCAGACCCAGCCGCGCAGCGCTCGTTGGGGAGAGCTGCATCGCATGGCATGGTCTGGGATGTTCGGGTCACATAGGGGCTAAAACGCATGGTTAATATGTTTCCCAGTGTTATTGCTGGTTCAGTCGATTAAGTTGGGTTTAAAGTACCCGCCAACCCAATTTGTTGAGTTCCTACCATGATTACAGGGGTTCTTTGCTGAAGTCTGCTGTTTGTTTGCCAGCTGCCGGGCACCCGGTAAAGCTTGCAGAGGACATGAGGCGAAGCCTGAGCTCGAGGCTGGCACGGAAAGTGGGAAAAGGTTCAAGGTGGTTCAATAAAATGTGGTATGCAGTTCATGAATTGTGTGTATCCTTTTTCAAGGGTACACGTTTATGAATTGCCAAACGAGCAGCCTTTTTGCCGCTCTTTTGGCCAGGCATCTCCTCTACACTTCGCATCACTTCTCCGCTTTTGGCACCATTTTGCTCTTGCGTTTGAAGGTCAGCTTCATCCCCGACCCCACTGTTATGCTTTAATGCTTCCTCCGAACATTCAGGCTGAATGCAAAGTGGTGCGTTGGTGGTGTCCTGGTGGTGTTCCAGGTGGGTCGTGTTTTGCTGGTATCCCAGCTGTGTTTCGGGTGTGTTTTCGGTGCTGTTTTGGTGGTGTCCCTTGTGGTGTCCCTTGTGGTGTGCCGGCTGTCGTTCTGGTGCTGTGCCGGTGTGTTGGTTGTGTTTGTGGTGGTTTGATGCTGTGTTGATGCAGTCGTCCTTCTGAATGGCCAATGTCCCCTCTGAAATTATTGTTGTTCAATTGCAGAGTTTACAATGTTGGTTGATTGTGGTGTCGTGGGGTGTAGAAACGTTTGGCTGCGATTGTTTTCTGACATAAAGCAAAAATATGTTGGCATATTTCAACATAGATTGTCAGGTAGAGTAGAATATGTGTTTTTAGTGTATACATATGTATATGTATATACATATATATATATATTCATATGTATATATTATATTGTTCTTTGTGATTAGCCATGTTTTAGATCATCACCAGGAACGTCGCGATAGTGACTGACCGGTGATGTTTGGCTCAAGTTTGTGGGTCCGTCACGCCTCGGATGAGCGTCGCCGGGTCCCCGCGTCGATCACCTTCGTGTCGGTGGAGAAAGAGACATCGGCCCGGGGCAGATTGGTGGGGATCGCCCGTGCGGTTCATCGTCGATCAAGGTTGCGGGTATTTGCATTCTTGTTTTGGTATTTCCCTTTCGGTCGTTGTTCTCTTGTGTGTGGGAAACCCTGATCTTTGGGACCGGGGATTGGTTTGCTTTTGGGGAAAACCTTTCTTTGTGGCTTGTTTACCCCAATTAACCCTTCGCCTGGGCACAGGCTCGTGCCCGAATCACAGGTTATTAGCCGTACAAGCTCAATGTCTCGTAGGAGTGTCGTAGATGAGGAGGCTATCCTAGGTAACCTCCGCTCAGGTGAGGGCCTGGTGGACTATGATTACGAGCACTTCGAAGCAGGCTCAACAGGTCGACCGTAGGGGTGATGATCCCGATGAGTCGTGGCAGGTACACTGACGATGGAGACGACCGAATTTTCCGTCAGGTTACCGATGATGAGCAAGGACAAGGAGCTCGTCCCGATAGGGACGGCTTCGAATCAGGTTTCGGACAGGAGCCGTTGAACTTCATCAACATGGTGATGGACATGGCCCGCCCACATGCGGACGACCTGGAGGCTACGTTCAGCCGATCTCCTAGATCTCTTTTTCCAGGTGAATCGCAGGCCCCGGAAGATTTCGCGGACGGACCACGAGGACCAGGAACCTTAGTCAGGGCTCCGAGAGACACTTCGGGTCAACCAACTGGGATTCAAAATCCAGGTCAGCAAGATGAGCATGAGGAGCGGATTTTGGCCGGTATCGGGTACGATGCCCTGTTGTCTTCAACTGCAGGATGGGGCAGTGACATGAGACTTGAATCTGATGCCGATAGGCACAATCAAGTTTCAACGAATCCTGATGAGCATGGCGACGATCAGGAATATGCCGCATTTGCAGATGCACGTGAGGAAGGGGAGAGTCAGTCTCGCAGGAATGCAAGGACACGAGAGGGACCTGTGTGGGGGACCGGGACATGCGGGACGAAGGTGAGCGAATCAGAGAAAGCCGGGGGGCCCGGCCTCACGCCGAACATGCCACCGTTTCCCAACATCACGTTTGGAGGATCATTGCATCTGAGGACCGAGGACGGCAACCGGGATACTGGTTCGTCCGAGACCGTCAGGCGTGCTGCTGCTGCGATTGAAACGGCAGCCAGAGATGGAAGACTTGCAGGTGCACTTGAAATTGAAGATCACTCGCCGATCCAGCCCGTTGGGGCGCGATCTCAGCGATCTCGAACCACTAAGGTCAAGCAATGTTCGACGCGCCTTCAGGTGATGGTCGAAAGAGGCGAAGCCGCAGCACCGATCGTGAACACCCTCATCGCATTTGCTGACCAAATCAGGTTACTGAACGGTCAAGTGAACTCCATGCGCTGGGAGTGGTGTGATGAACATCAGCAAATGAGGGACAGGATGATCGAATGCCACTGATAGTGGTCATCCCTGATAGCAGAGCGATCGTTAGATCTGCGGGGTTGGATGAAACAATCAACTCATTATCTACTGAGGTCCAGGGTTCTGTTAGGGGCATCGAGGGCGGTTTGAAAGCTTCACGAGGGTATCCACGACAAGCGCAATGCTAATGCTATGTTCAGGAACAATGCCGCCTTTGAGGATCAAACCAACGTGATTGGTAAAATCGAGAGGCGAGTTGATTCGATAGAAAGAGCCGTTAGGTCACTGCCATTCGCAGGTACCCCAGCTGCATCGGGGCCCGATAGGGCTGCCAGCAGCGGAGCTGATGAGCCTGTCAAGCAGACTCGAAGGCGAGGGTGGCCGACATGCAGTATGGGCCACCAAGGTCATCGAAGAGCTTCAGGCCGAACACCGGACGCTTGCTGATCGGATGCTGGAGATGGTGGGGGATAGGGGATCCCTTATGACGGATGTCGCAGCCCTTCGATTGGAGGCTAGGTCTTCGTCAACATGAGGTCGTCCGCGAAGTCGGAGGTGTTGGTCACGGTGAGCGTGTTGGACGCGAATAACTGCGGGGCACCGCGCCCGAGCTCGTCACGTCGCCGCACACCACGTTGCCCGTCGACACGCCGCCGTTTGTGGCCGTGAACGTGCAGCCCAGGCTCTCGCAGTCCAACGGGCCCGCGGAGGCCGCCCCTGTGATCGTCAGCGTGGCGCCGAGAAGGAAAAGGGCAGTGTCAATGGGACGAATTGGCTAAGGTGCTTTTCCAGTTCTCCTACGTTTCGGGTATCATGGCATCGGACTTTCGTCAAAAGCAATGGCGAAGCATCTTATCAAAACCGATTAGATCGATAGATTTGAGTTGGTGACTGAGTACTTCCGAGCGAATCCTGCACATGCAGCCCAGTGGGGGAGGCGGATGACGACTTCCGTTAGGAAGTTCGCTCGTCGCGACACGTATCTGCCTTTTTACATCCCAATGGCCTATGTGATCGGCGCTGCGGCAGGTTATTTGACACCGATGTATCCAACCCATAGGAAGGACGAGGACATCCTGGCTAGCCATAGGCTGATGGCCAAGATTAGGTCCTTCATGGTGTCATCGGCGGGATACAATGAGAAAAAGCGGCTGAAGGAGGCGATCGCAAAGGTGCAGAAGGCGATTAGCGAGGGCCGATCGAATCCTCCCGTTCCCAACTGTGACCCATTCGTTTACGTCAGTGACGAAAAGGTGAGGACCATCCTTGGTGGTACACAGCCTGAGCTTTAATCGGTGCGTAAGGGCGATAGCCTTTCCGACCAACAGCCAACATCGGGTGAAGGATCAGGGAAAGGGTCCGATAAGGGCGATAGCCCGACGTTCCCAAGGCCAAGGTTGATGCACGACCAGCCCCCTTGAGGTCGATCCACCCAATGCACCACCGAAGAAGACCTGGATGGCGGTAGCGGTCGAAGGAGCTCGGCCGAGCGCGAAGGCGAAGACGGTACCGTTTCCAAAGGCGGATCCGAAGGCGGAGCCAAAGGGGAAGACTGCACCCGTTCCCAAAGCTGGAGATGATTAGACTCTAAGCATCGAACCCAAAGAGGAGAAGAAGGCCGAGAAGGGCAGTGGGGACGAGGCGATAGCCGGGGCTCGGATGAGAAGCCTAGGAGAGAGAGAAAATCACGTTGGGATCCGGAGGGGCCGACTAAAGAGTCAACCAAGTGGGAGGCATCGAAGCGGCCCGATGATGTTGATAGTAGGCCAGGTGCAGCGGCCAGGGAAGCGAGTGGGGATGATCTTCACTCCGCACTCGGTAGGTCGTCAGCGAAGGATGCGATAGCGCCCTCGACGGCTTCTAAGGCGACGGCGAGGACCTGAGGGAAGTAGGGTGAGGTTGTACTCGGTGGAACGAGTTGCTGCGAGCCTGGTGTAGGGTCACTTCCAGAAACTGCCGGAGGCATCGATGATGGACGCTTTTCTGTCGATGTCTAGCAATCGGGAGCTCAATTGATAGGCTAGAGAGTTCATTAGGAACGGCGAGGATGGCTCGGCGTTGGAGGCTTTTAACTAGATCGTGGCGAACTCCCATGTAGCGCGTGCACGCCGGGGTACGGAGGTTTCTCGCATACTCTCCCAGAGGTCCGTTAGGACGCCGGAGACCGGGGATTTTTAGGGTTCGAGGAGGCGTAGCTATCGACCGCGGAGAGACGAAGATTAAGATCGAAGGAGAGATGATCGTCGCGGCGATGGATCGGTCGGTT